AGGATATCTCTATTCAAAAAAAAAATTGTGATGAGCAGCAAAATTGGAGATCGCTGAAGACTCGGCCTCCCTCCAAAGCAAATGCAGAAACTTGGTGTTGTAGGGCGTAATGTAAATTAGCCTACTTGTGATTCCATCAAAAGTAGAACTGTGAGCTCACAGGCACATTCTCAGAATGCATCTCACAAAAGATTGACTTTTTTTTCCCCCGCCCTCGATAGGGGGAAAGTGGTCCAGAGTCTCAACGATTTGGATACATGAGAGAAAAAAGTCAATTTTTCACATGTGCCGTCTAAATATCACAAGCGTCATGAAGGTTGAAAGTGCTGTCTAATAGCCTTGATCTTGCGGCTTTCAAGGGTTGTCTTATCATTTGTCACAAGCAACGTGTTTGCACTATTACATAGTGTCAGCATCAGTTTTGTTTCCTCCTCGCGGAAAAAGTCTCTGGGAGAGAAAGGGCTCCACCTCCAGGCAGCAAAGGGTATTACAAAAGGTCGAGACCTGCAGAAGGGGCCCAAGTCCTCAAACCGCTGTACTGTACTTTGAATAGATGTACAAATACATGTATTTAAAAAATACTCCGGTAAAAGTAGGACTAATTCAATGCCTATACTTGAGTGAAAGTAAACAAAGCGTAGACTCTGAAAGCTATTTGAGCACAATCTGTATACAATACTGGTTTTGATAAGTTTTTACAAAAACAGAAAAACTTGACAATGTATCCCTCTTTGATTAAAAATTTTGAAGTTATCAAAACTGTGTGTTCCCATAGCTTTGATATGAAACTGACAACCCCCCCCGCCCCAAAAAGCGAAATTATGGAACAATAACCAAAAGAAAAAATACACCTTGTATGCCTTTTTTCAGATTAGAGTGAATTTTCATTGTGAGAAGTGAGTTTTTTTTTTTTTAAACAATTCTTAGATATGGCCACGGAGGAGGAATATATTGCTTTTCCGAATTTGCTCCCTGATGTTTTTCAGCCTCAGAATTCATTAAGACCTCAGTCAAGCGCTTAACCACAATTGACTTGATCTCTATTTACATATTTACGTCTTTTTTTATGTCGGTTTATCATCCAACGGCACTTGAAAAAAGTAACAAGCTCATTTTGACTAAGTGAAGGTCCGCACATCTGTTTTCAAATGTAGGGAGTAAGACTTAAAAGAAAACTAAGCAATCAAATGAAGTACAGATACCTGAACACTCTATTTTAGTACAATAACAAAATATTTAGTGGATTACTGGTTCACATTTGTGAAGATGACAAAAGAAATGCCAAAAATGTTAAGCTTCACTGTCTAAAGGAAATCTGTCCCTTCAAATGATAATATTTGATATCTCGTAGTTGTGAATGGGTCTGGACAGGCTTGTGTTCCCTGATTCGGCCTTGAAAAGTGTTGACGTTTCATTTCATATGCCCCCCCCCCCACCACCACCTGCAAGACTGAATGAGTCACGGCTCAACAAGGCTGTGGATTCACTTGTGGATCACAGCCCAGTTCTGTGAGGAAATCCACACGCTTTATCAGGTTCTCTTGCGTTTAGTCACTTTGTCGCAAATCAAATCAGTGAGAAATCACGGTCCAGCATTGAAACAAATCCCATTTTTGTCTGCATAGAGAGCAATTTTTCCTCTCCAAACTTTTGCCATAAACTGTGGATTAGCGTGACAGACAAGCGCCATTGTGCCCGGTTCAGACATCACGGCGGCCATAACCACCCACTCTGTTCGCTGTCCCTATCGCAGTGTGTGCGTGCGCGGTGTGAGAAAGTGGGTGATAGAGAGAGCCCGCTGACCCAAACACAAACGGGATTACATCCCAACTGTGTCATCGCTTACTCGCGATTTGCATCTTGGCACCCTCACTGCAGAGTTCTTATTTATACATACAGGGGAAGGCTTAGACCAAGTGTGCGTATTCAAATAAGTGGTTGTAATGAAACATTATGAGCACATGGCAAATGAGGAAATCAGGCTGCGCATGAATCAGTTTTGAATATCTTAATCAGTTCCGGGAGGGCAAGACTCGACTTTCATCACATTGAAGTCGACAACAAAAAAAATCAAACGCACTTGTATGACAGCTATGAATGTTGAAGTGTTACTTGAAAGGTGCACTGTCCAAATAAAGGACAGTTGCGCCTGGAACAAATGAACTAACTTCACATAATTTGAGTTCAACCATACTCACGGGACCATTGCAACAATGGATCCCGTCACCATTCCACGGAGGATGTGGGTATTTCTACAAGGCAGCGTTGTATTTTGTATGTTGTCTGTTTAAGAGGGAGGAAATTTCATCTGTGCGTATGTTACACATACAGCACGTTTGACAATAAAGTTGTATTTGACTTGACTTGACTTAAGTCATTTAGTTGTCCACACCACGTTTTTTTATCGACGACGCAAAAAGTGTGAATTTGAGAAAATTGAGAAAGAAAATCTCATGTGCAATATTAATCCTTATGCGGATCAAGGGCGGCCCGGTGGTCCAGTAGTTAGCGCGTCGACCTCACAGTGCAGTGGTACCGGGTTCAATTCCAACTCCGGCTTCCCTGTGTGGAGTTGGCATGTTCTCCTCGAGCTTGCGTGGGTTTTCTCTGGGTACTCCGGTTTCCTCCCACATTCCAAAATAATGCATGGCAGGCGGATTGGACATTCTAAAATTGTCCCTAAGTGTGAGCGTGGATGGTGGTTCGTCTGTGTGTGCCCTGCGATTGGCTGGCAACCAGTTCAGGGTGTCCCCCACCTACTGCCCAAAGACGGCTGGGATAGGCTCCAGCACCCCTCGCAACCCTTGTGAGGATAAGCGGTTCATAAAATGGATGGATGGATGGATAAATGTGGATCATCTTGATGCTTTTTTTGTAATTGATGAGAACATTCACCAAGATTTAATTACAGTTTACCATTTTGACTGCTACTCACATTTTCGTGATGAAAAACTTTTCTTCTCGTCTTTTCTCCACTATACTGGGAGAACTTTTTGCTTCATTTTTCTCACAACCCGGCAACGAGTCTTGCTACACTCTTCCTGAATTGCATGCGGATGCACAGGAGGAACATGGATTAATCCATTGCATGAGAAGGAAGCTCTTGATGTATCTTTCAGTATGGGAATTAAGATTAAAAAAAAAAAAAAAACTTTATTGGATACATTTTGAGGGCGGCTATTTGACAAATGGTTTACCCGCCCTTGGTCACACAGAAAAACGAGATGTTGGGTTGGTATTTATGTGTAAATGGGCCAAATTGTGATGTCACTATTCAACAAAATTGAGATCAGCACGCTCAGACAATTTTTCTGAAAAGGCAGATAACAAAAGATGTACTATTTATGTCCAAACAATCAAAAAGTCACTTCTCTACATCCTCATTAGTTTAATGCCAACGGGTGTAATGACACTTGGCAGCCAAGGGAGGGCGCCAAGAACTGTGTTGCAATTAACACACGACCTTCTACATGGCCTTATAAAGGGAGGAAGCGATCCAGAATTTAACTGCTGTGTCACCTTGCAGAAATGCTGTAATGAAGAACTGTTGCCCCGATTGGAACGTGCCAGCATTCCAACAGTCCTGCCCACCTTTCCCCACCCGACCTCCCCCTCTCCACCCCATCAGCCACAAACGGTGAATCAGCTGAGCGCCCACACCGCTCTATCCTATACGAGATGAGGATGACGACGTACGACACGGAGAGAAAAGAAAAAAAAAGATCAAAGAGAAAGACAGTCGGCGAGAGACGACTCTGCTCTCTGCCCCTGAGGACCTTCTTCCCACGTGTGTCCGCTGAAAGGACACATTTGCTCCATTTCTGCACCAAAAACCAAAAGGCCACAAACTGATAACAACAGCGCAGGAAATCTGTTCAAAGAAAGAAACGAAATGTCCATGAGCCGCCTAAACAGGGCTCAAACGGCAGCCCCCGCCCAAGCCCCCCCCCCTTCTTTTTTGACACTTTTAACACACACACACACACACACACACACACACACAATAGTAAGTGAAACATTAGAAATGGGATTCAGTATTTTTCCATCTTTTTCAGTATATCGTATTTGAAAGACATGAATTTAGTTGTGTGATTCTAAATGTTCTTCAAAAACGAGCATGAAAAAAATTGCTTCAGCTCATAATTGTAGATGTGGAAAAGTGAGAATCATTATTTTAATTTTTTTGGACGGCCATAAACATTTTCTCCATGCCTGTCATGTCAGTGATGATAGATCAAGGTCTATAATCTGTATTTTTTACCTTTTCACACCGCTTACTGTTCATGGACTTCTACCGATCTCTCTCTCTCTTTTTCTCTCTCTGTCTCTCTCTGATGTGACTTCATTTTATACTTAGTCACTGGGAATTTCATAGCTCCCATAATATATTCTAATGCCATTTTTTTCTTTTTGCATAATAATGATGCTTCGGACAAAAATGGGTCTTTTATAGAAGAAATAAGGGGGGGATAAGGAATGATTTCTATGTCTCTTGAAGCTGAAATATATTATACTAAACCAACTCAAATAATGCTTCTTGTGTTTTTCTGTCGACAATGTTCCAGCGTTTATGGATTATTAAAGTACATTTTAGTACATTTTCATGATATTGGTCAATGTATTTTTGTGAATTAAACTTTTAACCAAAGTGCTTTGGTTACAGGTTGGTCTTTTTATATCCTGTGTAATCCTATTTTAAGCATGTACAATCGAACCCGGATTTAGAAGGGGGAGGAGGTCATCTTTGAGCCATTTGTTGTTACCGGTAATTGTCGAAAAGAAACCCATCCAAAATTGCCAGGAAATTCTGCACACAGATTCACCGTCTGACCAAAAATACCGCACGTTTAATCAAGGCTGATTTTTGTAAGTTTCAAGGTTTGGGTCTGGAAAACTGTTCGCACCTACACTAAGGTGCCCCAGCCAAAGAAATAAATGGCAGAAAAACTTTTCCAGGCGTTTAATTTTCACAAAAATGTAATTTCTTTTTAGGTTGCAAAAAAAAAAAAAAAAAACACATTCTTCCCACTCACCCACCTGTCCTCCCTCATTAGAGGTGTTCCTATTGTTATGGCCAAGATGGTGTTTGTGTGCGGTGGACTGCAGGTGTGCGCTCGTGGGAGTGATGCTGGGAAGCGTCGGAAACTCCCCTCACATTCCCATGACTGATTGAGATTTAAAAAAAAAAAAAAAATCACAGCCTTGCTCCTCAGCCAGACCAGGCTCTTTGAGTGACCATGTTCCGGCGATGCTGGCCCTTTTTTCTGCTGGTGCTGGGTGAGTCACATTCTTCAAAAAATTAAATACAATTTATTATTGCTTATAATATGCATGACATATTTGTGTTAAAAAAAGTGTCTCCGTTGATGTAAAGTCAATTTTTAGTGGGCACAATAGCTGTCCATTATGAGCGTACTAGTAACAAATGAGCTACAGATACATTACACGTTAGGGTTAGACATTTTTATTACATTTCCCAATGTGAAATTGATCAATTCCTGGATTTTTTTTTTTCTTGTATTTTTTTTCAATGAATGAAGTTGTTGAATGAATGGCAACAAGTGGATACCTCAGGTTAATTGTAAATTCGGCCATCTGGAAGAGCATTTCATTGTTCTGCCTGTCGTATGTTGGTGGCATAGATAGCTGAACAAAGATAATGTACCTTAGAGATGTTTAACCGATGCTGGGGGGGCCACAGTTTTTTATCAGCCCTACTCTGAGAAGACATAGGACCTTCTAAATAAGGACAAAATAGCTGTCTTTTTTTCTTGAAACAATGTACAGCAGAGTATCTTGATATAATTTAATTCTCAGATGCATCATATAAAAGATCCGTTCCCAAGGCTTGAATTTAAAAAAAAAAAAAAAACATCCTGTGGTTTTTATTTTTTTCCTCCAGTGCAAAGGGCTCTGTTGCATAAAAATTACCATTCATAGATGGCAAAAAAAAAAAAAAAACTGCTTAAGAGCAAGCCAACATTCAGGGCAAGAGCTAATTTTTTTTTTGGTACATTTTCACAAAAAGTAACTCATTCAAAAATTTTGATATTGATATGTTTGTCGTGCGTGTCTTCTAAAATCCTCAAATTAATGGGCTGGCTAACTCACCTGTGTGAACACAGTGCAGTAGGGGAGGGCACTGAAGTTCATTCCGAATGCATCCCCTCTGCATCATCAACATCACCACCGCCCATCACAGGAGCCGCTTCTGCAAGCCATCATACGTATTGAATACAGAGCTTAAAACGAACTGTCAACGGTTCTATAGTCAACATTTTCATTTTGAACAATTAAGTTCGTAGGCATTATTTTGACCCTCCGAAGTCTTACTACGGTCTCTCTTCCCAGAATGCATCTGTCCTTGTATCTCCAGCCCCTTGTCGGATGAGAGGAGGCAGTGCGCCTTCCAGGTCAAAGCACAGAACCGGAAGTACCTGGCGGCGGGCAACGTGAGCGACTCGGTTCAGGTGTGCGAGCGCACGCATTGCTGCGTGGGCTACTTCCTCATGGTCCACGGACAGCTGGAGGTAGACACTCTTGGTAAGAAGACTTTCGGCATTTGACTGGCATTTTCTTCATCAATACTCCTTTTTCAATTCTCGTGGCCAAGTCACAAAATCACATACAACATCTGAGTATAAGGAGTTTTAGTGACACACTGAAAAGGAAAACCACTCAATACAATATTAAAGTCGAAATCTTACAAGAATAAAGTTCTATATTTTCAAGATAAAAAGTTGTGTATTTTTTTTATTCAAATTATATTATGAAAAAAAGTGATAGGGTGGTATGTTTTTGAAATAATATAGCATATATATTTTTGGAATTAAAGTGAGAATATTAATTTAAGAGGAGAGAAAGGGACTGAACAATTTTGAAAAATAATCAAATTGAGATCCCCTCGCCCCAATATTATGATTGCCATTTAATATGCGACTATTTTTATGTATTTATTTATTTAGCTTATTCCCTTGTATTTTGTGACACACAAGCACAAAATGAATTTGTATTCTAATAAACAATAACCAATTTATTACACATAAATATTTTGGAGTTTTTTTATAAACCCAGTGAATTTGGGTTGTTGTTTTAAACGTAAATAAAAATAGAATATAATGGTTTGCGAATCATGTTCACGGGCCTCTCGGCTGCATCTGAGGCAGTGTTATTCTGTATCTAATTCATGCCATCTTCCGTTCAAGCTTGCGATGTGACTGAAAAATCTTGCCCTGATGCCACCTGCAAGGCGCAGCGCCGCTTCAACAACCGGCTGGTGAAGTGTGTGTGCAACACGCATCTCTGTAACATGAACCTCACCTGGAGCACGTCATCGGAAGAGCCAGGGCCCACCGACTCCGCGGGTATGACTTCATCACTTATAACACCCCCCAAAAAACCAAGGCATCGGAAAACACTAACGCCGTATTTCCTGAAATAGTGGTCATCCACTTTTTACAGTTCCTCAGATGAACTCAAGTGCGGAATCTTACCTCGTTTCTCTGCGTAGCATTAACCATCTTCGGGCTATGTGACTCATCTTTCATATGACATAAAATGTAATACTGAATCTCCAATATTGTAAACATTGTATACCATTGTCCAAATAAAGGCCAGAAAATATTGTGAACATTCTCCTTGATACTGGCGCTTGTATTTTGTCTTTGTAGACAAAACTTGGCTCATCATTTTTTCCGCTGTGTTGGTCACGTGCCTGGTGATTGCGGCAGTGCGTTGGAAATGTCTCTCGCTACACAAAGGTAACTCCAATTTTGAGAAGTAATTTTTTTGCAGGTTAATCCCACAGACCTAATGTGAGAGTTTTATTAAACAATACAACAAGTAATTTTTATATAATCTTTCTATTTCTTTATTTCACATTTTGCATAGCGGCAAACTGTACTTTCTTGCCCAGAACCAACCACGTGAAGCAGCATTTAGCCAAAAAATGGAATAAATTGGCAACAGAACATCAAAAACAATGGCTACGTGTCAATTTTAGGGTTAGCAATTAGCATGCCTTCTCCGTCTTTCCTCATCATCCGTTTTGTAAGAACGATACTTGTGTGGAAGTTATTCACTGCCCCGGAGGCGATGATTACTGACTTTAGGAGCGACTCCACAACATGTTTAGTCACAATAGTAGCCAGCCGAAGCTCGTTACTAGCTAGCGTAAGTAACACCGAGCTTAGTAGTTGAGCGACTGGTGTGGCTCCATCCCAGCGAAGCTTTTTGGGGAACCGTCTTGGTGGTTGATTCTCAGGTTTGCTACTCAGTGTGTTTTGATGAGGTGCAAAATGTTAACTACAATCAATGCGTAACCGCTTCTTTGGAGCCTTGTATGGTATTTCACCCCTACACACGGCTTTTGTTGAGCCTTGCAACTGTTACTTTCTCCACAGGGTTGACCTTGGTGCTTATCGGAGCTATCATGGTCTCTTCAAGCACCGGAGCTCGTTCTAGTTTCTCAAATAGCAGTTGCAATACAGTAGATTCTATGTCCCAATGAGTAGTTGGCTGGGAATGTTGTATCCATGTCTACAAATGTGGAAGGACATTGTCGAAAAGGTGGGACACGTGTGGGTATTGAAAGTATCTAAGCGGGTCTTCCGGTTCTAAAACAAGTGTGAGGGTGTCATACTTTCTGACCCGGTCACAGTTTGGATTTAGGGTTTGCAGATCCTAGTTTTAATCCAGTCTTACACAAGAGGGTCGAGGTTTTCAAATCAAGGTTTCAAGACCTTCCATCCCATCTTTCTTTCGTCATCCTTTCCTTCCTTTCTGACTTCTTTTCATGCCATCCTTCAACTGTTGCGTTGTCTTTCTTCTTGTCATTCTACCGTTCTTACGTAGATCATTGGGTCCTTCCTTCTTTCCTTCCCTCCATATTGTCTTCCTCCATCCTTCCTTCTCTCCATTCATATATTCTTCTTTCCTTCCTTCCTTAACTGGTTACTTCCGTGTGTTCTTTCATACCATCTTTGGTCCCTGGTCCATTTCATTTGCCTCCGCTTCCTTCCTAACTTCCTTCTCCTTTAATCCTTCCTGCCTTCCTACCTTTCCCAGCCTTCATCTTTCGTTCCTCCTTTGCTTCCTTCTATCTTTCCCTCCATCCTGTGTGGATGTTTCTTCATGCAATGTTTTCTGATGTCCACTTGAAAGTGGCTGTGGACCTTAACCCAGCCTTAGGTGATCACGTCATGGGCTGAGGAACACTGTGTGAGAGAGGTTGTATTGTAAATGAGCCACAAAGGCTTTCAGTCTGCAGACTGACATGTTTGTTTTCCCTCGTAGCTTGTTTTTGAGGTGTGACTTCCTTTAGTCACCTCTTTAGCAGGTAAAATACATGCTCCGTGTGGTTTAGGTCTGGAGATGGACATTAACGGCGCTGTCCCTTTTATTTTGCTTATAGAGGAGAACGCACAAGCTACCCTTCACATCGCTCCACTGAGTCCTTGCCAAACGCAAAAGTCCCAGATTGATGTCAGTGATGTTCAACTGCAGCAGGTAAGCTATTTAAAAAGCTAAACTGTTTAAAATCTTGCCTCAAAATACATCTATCTCTTCTCTTAGATTGTGGCCCGTGGGCATTTTGCCACGGTGTGGCGAGGAACGTACCAAGGATCGATGGTGGCCGTTAAAGTCTACCCTGGTGCCGCTCAGCATGCGTTCAGCTCCGAGAAGGAAGTCTACGGTCTCCCGCTGATGAGGCACGCCGGGATCATCAACTTCCTGGGTACCGGGAGAAGGTCGGAAGACGGCAGCTGGCTCCTATTTCTGCAGTTGGCAGAATATGTGAGTGTCAAAATGGAATCAAATAAAAATAAATACTTTGCTATTCCAGGCAATGTATGCTCTATAGCAGTAGTTCTTAACCTGGGTTCGATCGAACCCCAGGGGTTCGGTGAATCGGTCTCGGGTTCGATGGAGCCTCTGCCATGGAGGTTAAGACACGGCCGACTCAACATGTCAATTAATTATGACACGCCCGCTTGGCCATCACTGGCTGCACATGATCACATGACATTGCTTGTCCAATCAGCGCAGCGGGAAATTTAGTTCGCTTAGTCGTCAACATGTGACTGTCCCGATAGTACGTCGTACAAAAAAAAAAAAAAAAGAAGATATCTCTTGAAATTTTATTTACTTTTTTTCTGTTTTTATTAAATGTGTTTTTTTAAATATCTTGAATTTGCAATAAATATATAGATATGTATTTTTCACAAATGAAGGGCTCGGTGAATGTGCATATTAATTGGTTGGGTTTGGTACCTCAAAGAAGGTTAAGAACCACTGCTCTATAGGTTTTAAGTCTGACGATGACTCGTTTGTTCTTGACAAAATATTTGTTTCACTAACTTTCAGGGCTCTTTGCACTCGTTTCTGAGTGAGAACACCAACAGCTGGCCCTCGTCACTCAAGTTGTGCCTGTCTTTATCTCAAGGACTCTCCTATCTCCACTCGTATCTGCTCACAAAAGGTATTAGGCTGCCATCGTCACAGCTTTTTCCAAATTTACTTCCTATTGGTGTCATGGCCTTTTCCATTTATTTAACTTTTTTTCTGCTTCTCGTCTTTTTTTCAGAGGGCCACAAGCCGCCTGTGGCCCACAGAGACCTCACCAGCTTCAATGTGCTCGTCCGGGCAGATGGCACCTGTGCCTTGTGTGATTTCGGTAGCGCTATCATCCTGTGCTCGTGCTCAAGCCATCGCCAAATGGGAAATCTACTGGTGAATACTCTATTAATCTGTTATGCTAGGATGTCACCCAGTCATTATGCCACCTTTCTGTTCATCCACAGAGTCCGAGCCAGGCGGCATGCACCCTGTGCTACATGCCCCCCGAGATTCTGGAGGGTTCTGTGTACCAATTCAGCAGCTGCTTTCTGCATGGGGACGTCTACGCTTTGAGTTTGGTGCTGTGGGAGATATGCATGCGCTGTTCTGACTTGTTTGATGGTAAAATCCATCATGCACACTCACTCAAACGAATTTATTACTGTACGGACACGCCTTAGAGCTTTTGAGATTGCACATTGCCTCACGTCTGAAGCGACAGAGTTCGGAATGTGTGACTGTACCTTGACGCTGGCCTCTTTTTTTTTTTTTTATGCCATCCTCTTACTCCGCTACATTAGCAGGAAGCGGGATTGAAATGTTTTCTCTTGTAAGCTCCAACAACTGGCGTTCCCACATTCTTAAAGTTTGTAACTGTCATAGAAAGTGGACTCGCACAAAGAGTTTCCATGTAAACAAAACACCAATTTCGCTCTCCCGGATGTTGCGCACCTAATTCACGCAAATGCTCAGGGGGCATAGGAATAAGGTGGATCGCGGTTGTCCTCGTTCGGGTCGCAGGTGAGTTGGGGCTTGTCCAAACTGACCTTAGGTGAGAGAAGCGAGTTACAGCCCGGACTGGTCGGCCCTGCAATGGCCTAGTATTTTGACACTCATACAAAATGTGACCATCAAAACATCCCTGTGGTCTACAAGGATACATCCTCACCTCTCTATCTTATTGAAGTACTGAATGTCGGATAATGGATGGATGTATGGTTGTCAGAAGAGAAAATTATGAGAAAACCCATCACTGTAGCGCATTTCTTCACCACTAGACGTGGGCCAGTAGAAGAGCTAATGTCTCCCTCTGCAGATGGTGCCGTGCCACAACACCTCCTCCCTTATGAGCGTGAGCTGGGAGCCCACATGACCCGGGAGAGTCTCACCTTCCATGTGTCTCACATGGAAAAAAGACCCTCCATCCCTGAGCATTGGCAGCAGCTGAGACAGGTATGTTTTCCCTCGAGCAACCATAAATTGATGGTTTTGGAATGAGTAAAAACACCAAATGAATCTTGGGCCCATCTCAGGCACCAGTGCTGCAAGATCTATTGACAGAATGCTGGGACGTGGACCCAGACGCCCGGCTGACTGCTCAGTGTGTCGTGGACAGATTAGTCTCCCTTCAGTCATATTCTTTAGTATGACACTTGTTTTACAGCTTGTCTATGTGAGTTAAAAAAAACCTTGTGCATTTTTCACAATTGAAAACAGTTTCAAGGTATCTTAAATATCAATTACTAAATATTATTCATTAAGAAATGTGTTTGATAATGTCACGCGCCACACACTGCTACATTAATTCTCTTAGCCTCGGTTTCTGCACCATACAATGATGATAACGGTTTCCTTTTATATTTATGTTCACTCTTTGTGTGCAGCACTTTGTTACAGTTGTGGTTGTTTTTGTGGTCTATAAACAAAGTTGAGTTGAGATTGGAGCGTCTCTAATGAAGCCGTGCAAGTCTATGTACACACTCATCTGCTTCTGTGTTGAAAATGGCAGCTCTTCACCCAGCCTAGCTTCTAAGTCATGGACGGAGAAAGTCACTGTTAAGTTCTAAGATGACTAACGGGAGTTATTTAAAAATTTTAACTGGAAGCATCATAACAGTATGTGCAAGTATGTTTTCCCATTGACACGAGACATCTAAAGTATCACTATAATAAACACCTGTGCTGTGGAGACTTCAACCCTACTCCCCTCTCTCATCTAACAGTTTCACATTATGTATGCAACAAGAAGGAATAAATCTTCATTATAAAATATTTGCTATTATTATTATGTGAATATTTTGTGTTTGTTTTATACAGTATATTGTACACTTTGCTCCACCTGTGGTGGTTAGTCATTGAGAAACCTAATTCAGTTGAATTATCGCCATTTTGAAAGGCAGCACTCCCGTTTTCAGAACATTTTCTCCACTGAGCACGAAAAGATTGCTGTTAATTAATCAGTCAACGAGCTATTTAATTAACTTACGAGCTTGATAGTTGCAAGACACGCCGGATTTACCTATTTGTATCTGATCATTTTATAGTTATGATCTATAAGTATTTAGCGTGGGTTTGTGGTTAGGCGTGTTCTGATTGACACACAATTCGGTTTAACGTCGCCACTTATGGACTTGACTTCGTTGCAAACGGATGGACTCCTTATATTATAGCCCCCTTGTAATTAGCCATATGATTTACTTAGTTATCATGCTCATTATAACACTAAGATTTAGAGAACCATGTGTCCACCAAGCCTGAAAAAGTTGTTGTGAATTAGCTTGTTAACTAGCAGCGAGTCGCTACACTTACTATACAATACAGGTACTCATTTATCACTGAATTTACTCTTGTTTTTAAATGAAATCGTTCTGTGTTTGTAGCTTACGTTTGTTTTCGGAATGTGTGACTGTACCTTGACGCTGGCCTCTTTTTTTTTTTTTTATGCCATCCTCTTACTCCGCTACATTAGCAGGAAGCGGGATTGAAATGTTTTCTCTTGTAAGCTCCAACAACTGGCGTTCCCACATTCTTAAAGTTTGTAACTGTCATAGAAAGTGGACTCGCACAAAGAGTTTCCATGTAAACAAAACACCAATTTCGCTCTCCCGGATGTTGCGCACCTAATTCACGCAAAGGCTCAGGGGGCATAGGAATAAGGTGGATCGCGGTTGTCCTCGTTCGGGTCGCAGGTGAGTTGGGGCTTGTCCAAACTGACCTTAGGTGAGAGAAGCGAGTTACAGCCCGGACTGGTCGGCCCTGCAATGGCCTAGTATTTTGACACTCATACAAAATGTGACCATCAAAACATCCCTGTGGTCTACAAGGATACATCCTCACCTCTCTATCTTATTGAAGTACTGAATGTCGGATAATGGATGGATGTATGGTTGTCAGAAGAGAAAATTATGAGAAAACCCATCACTGTAGCGCATTTCTTCACCACTAGACGTGGGCCAGTAGAAGAGCTAATGTCTCCCTCTGCAGATGGTGCCGTGCCACAACACCTCCTCCCTTATGAGCGTGAGCTGGGAGCCCACATGACCCGGGAGAGTCTCACCTTCCATGTGTCTCACATGGAAAAAAGACCCTCCATCCCTGAGCATTGGCAGCAGCTGAGACAGGTATGTTTTCCCTCGAGCAACCATAAATTGATGGTTTTGGAATGAGTAAAAACACCAAATGAATCTTGGGCCCATCTCAGGCACCAGTGCTGCAAGATCTATTGACAGAATGCTGGGACGTGGACCCAGACGCCCGGCTGACTGCTCAGTGTGTCGTGGACAGATTAGTCTCCCTTCAGTCATATTCTTTAGTATGACACTTGTTTTACAGCTTGTCTATGTGAGTTAAAAAAAACCTTGTGCATTTTTCACAATTGAAAACAGTTTCAAGGTATCTTAAATATCAATTACTAAATATTATTCATTAAGAAATGTGTTTGATAATGTCACGCGCCACACACTGCTACATTAATTCTCTTAGCCTCGGTTTCTGCACCATACAATGATGATAACGGTTTCCTTTTATATTTATGTTCACTCTTTGTGTGCAGCACTTTGTTACAGTTGTGGTTGTTTTTGTGGTCTATAAACAAAGTTGAGTTGAGATTGGAGCGTCTCTAATGAAGCCGTGCAAGTCTATGTACACACTCATCTGCTTCTGTGTTGAAAATGGCAGCTCTTCACCCAGCCTAGCTTCTAAGTCATGGACGGAGAAAGTCACTGTTAAGTTATAAGATGACTAACGGGAGTTATTTAAAAATTTTAACTGGAAGCATCATAACAGTATGTGCAAGTATGTTTTCCCATTGACACGAGACATCTAAAGTATCACTATAATAAACACCTGTGCTGTGGAGACTTCAACCCTACTCCCCTCTCTCATCTAACAGTTTCACATTATGTATGCAACAAGAAGGAATAAATCTTCATTATAAAATATTTGCTATTATTATTATGTGAATATTTTGTGTTTGTTTTATACAGTATATTGTACACTTTGCTCCACCTGTGGTGGTTAGTCATTGAGAAACCTAATTCAGTTGAATTATCGCCATTTTGAAAGGCAGCACTCCCGTTTTCAGAACATTTTCTCCACTGAGCACGAAAAGATTGCTGTTAATTAATCAGTCAACGAGCTATTTAATTAACTTACGAGCTTGATAGTTGCAAGACACGCCGGATTTACCTATTTGTATCTGATCATTTTATAGTTATGATCTATAAGTATTTAGCGTGGGTTTGTGGTTAGGCGTGTTCTGATTGACACACAATTCGGTTTAACGTCGCCACTTATGGACTTGACTTCGTTGCAAACGGATGGACTCCTTATATTATAGCCCCCTTGTAATTAGCCATATGATTTACTTAGTTATCATGCTCATTATAACACTAAGATTTAGAGAACCATGTGTCCACCAAGCCTGAAAAAGTTGTTGTGAATTAGCTTGTTAACTAGCAGCGAGTCGCTACACTTACTATACAATACAGGTACTCATTTATCACTGAATTTACTCTTGTTTTTAAATGAAATCGTTCTGTGTTTGTAGCTTACGTTTGTTTTTCGTACAAATATATTGTAATTGTTACTTTAATTACGTTACAGTGAGACGTGGCCCTTTTACGTACGTTTCACGTACGCACACTGACGGAACTCCGTCGTAAACCGAGAACCCAAAGTATCGCTACACTTACTATACAATACAGGTACTCATTTATTACTGAATTTACTCTGCTTGGGCAGGTGTACCTACAGTACGCAGTGATTGGAATCTCCACAGTCCTCCTCCATCACATTTCATAGGAGCAAACAATAGCTGCGTTTGCGTGTGGAAATACTTAACACTTTTTATGTTTACTTGTTCCATTACGTGTAAAAGTGAAGCATAGTGTGCGTGCGAGTTCAAGGCTGGGCGTGGCTTGCTTTTCCTGCGCATGTTTCTTTCTCTTCAGTTGCTGGCTGCTAGTCAATCCGGAAGACAAACAGTAGGAGCGTCCCACCGACGAAACGAGCAAGGGTAAACTTTGGGATAACTTCATATTTAGTAAATACTTCATATTCTTTACAATGTGGGTTTGTCCCCAAAAATCGAAATTAAATCGTCATGGTGTTGGGATTAATGACCATCGTAGTAGTCGGTGTTGATGACGTCTAACATGCGTTGACTTTTCTCGACGCGCCCTTATTCCTAATTCGGACGCGAAAATCCTATTCCATTGTTTTTTAACCAAAAGACTGAGTTCACTGACCAAAAAGGAGGCCGCATTCTAGGTTGTTATGATTAAACTGGTCAACAGCAAATATTAATAAGAGATAGTTTTATGTGTCCCCAAACGTATTTTATATCTTTTTTTTCGCTAATTTTTCTTTTTATGTATTTGTATGTTGTCTTTTTTTTACTCTTTTATTGTACCCTTTTTAACCTATTTTAAAATGTTCTCTTGGTTTTTTAATTTAAATTTTTTAATTGTCATGTTTTTTCTCTTTTTTAAAACATCTTGTCTTTTTTATTTTAAAAAAAATTGTTTTTCTTTTTAAAATGTATTTTCTTTTTTACTTTAAAAAGATTTCTGCGTTGTATTTTGTTACTTTTATTATTGTTTTTCTTGTTTAAATTTCTCTTTTCCAGGCATTCTTGAATTATTCAGTAAAATGTCTTCATTTTTCAACATATTCCTTTTTGGCCGTATTAATTTTTTGTTTGACTTCCAGGCATTCTTGAATTATTCAGTAAAATGTCTTTTCATTTTTCAACATATTCCTTTTTGGCCTTTTTAATTTTTTGTTTGACATTTTTTTACCATCTAAATTTAGCTTTTTTTTTCTTAGTTTGTATCAATGTATTTTTATTAGTGTGTTAGTATATTTTATGTTTGGTTAACTTTTTTTTTTTTTACTGCTTATTGATTTTTACATAGAGGAAACAGTTAATATACTGTATATTTGAATCTGATATCCATCCAATTAAATGTTAATCCATTACTTTTTTCCTCCATGTCTTTCTGAAACTTTCAGTCACACCTGAAGTGTAACCATGTGGCCAAATCAAGGTATGCAAACATGTTTTTCTTTAGCTGGATACAAAGTAGTGAGTGGCAACAGCGACTATTTGAATACTTGTGTATTTATATCAGGTCCATCCAACCCAGCCTTCCCTCCTGGCTACAACCCTGCATACCCCGCCGTCCCACCCGCAGGAGCCTTCCCCCAGCCCCCGCGTCAACAGTTTTTACCTGTCCAGTATCCAGCGGGCGTCAACCCCGCCATGATACCCAAAGCACCCTCGGGTGCGATGCCATACCCTGGTGTTCCAGTGCCACACTCCTACCCTGTGGCACCTGGTGGGTATCCGGTTGCCCCCATTGGAGGCGTCCAAGCCGGTGTGTACCCACATTCCCCCAAAGGCCACCACCATAAAACAAAGGGCCAGCACCACAAAAAAGGTCATCACTACCATGGCGGGGTCAACCCCCTCAATCCCTTAAGCGGGGTTCTAGGTGGGGGCTTGGCTGGCATGGGCATGGGCATGGGAATGGCGGGACATAAATCCCACAAGAAGTTGAAGAAGGGGAAGAAACTAAAGAAGGTGCACAAGATGCATGGGCACCACAAACATGGCGGCAAGGTGAGATTGGCACCACTCTCACACCAGGCATCCAATCTCGAAATAAAGAGACGCAGTAGTTCTCAAACTTTTTACACCAAATACCACATTGAAAAAGCAATTTTTTTTTGTATTGTATTTTCAATTCAAAAAATAAATGGGGGATCGGGTAAAAGAAATGGAAATAAGTGGGGCATTGAGAAAAATCCAGTGAATGAATCATGCTTTTGTTGGCAGTCTATGAATGCACTGTCAAAAGTGAAATTATGTAGAGTGAACCTTAGCTATTTTCATGACACTGTAACTGTGCTCTGCCGCGCATAATCATAAATCCACAAGTAATTGCCCCCCCCCAAAAAAGTGGGGGTTAGTAATTGCATATAGATGTCAAAAGACAGTAGGACCACCTGTAGGACCTCCTCACTGTGGCACCAATTCATTTATTTTAAGTGGATACTGATGATTTTTTTCCCCCCACAGTCCTCCAGTAGCAGCAGCAGCAGCAGTAGTAGCAGCAGCAGCGACTCCGACTGAGGCCATCATTCAATGTATATACTGTACCCTATACCACCACACGATTATAACATGGATAACTGCTAAAAGGCATTATAGCAATAAAAAAAATGATGCGGGATTTCTGTGTATATACTATATACCTCCATGGACATATAAAGGGGCTAGCTGCTAAAAGATTATTCATGAATACTTCAACAAGATTTGTGGAGTAATGCGGGTCACTCTTTTACGGGCTGTGTTTTGTATTTTTCGAGAAGTCTATCTCAAGGCATGTTACCGCTAACATGTTAGTTACTGATTGTCGTATCACTGTTTTGAAATTAATCCATGAAAACAATCTTTAATTTGGTGATCGCTTACAATAAATGTATAAAAAGCTACATATGTCTCATCTATGCTATTAAATGCTACATATACATCTCAGCAAATTATATTATTGTGGAAACATTCATTTATATCTGTAAAGTAGTTGAATTATTTATACAGTAATTGTTAGATTCCGAATTTACTTAGGGTTTTTGGCCCATGCGTTGAATTTTTTAACATGGTGTATTTATATTTTTTATTGTCAAATGTTTTTTTAAGAATAATCTCAACATACTGTATGTAGTGCATAAATCAAGAGCCCTGTTTTTGTTCCCCGTGCAAGTGTGCAAGGCGTGTCCTAGTTTTCTTTTGCTGTTTTCGTAGATGCAAGCTATTAAAAAGTGCCGTTTGTGCCATTGTGGGAGTTAAAACTGCCAACTTGCTTCCCGGCCAAAGCAGCTCCTCATTCCTAATGCCTTATACAATGATTAAGAGGGTGCTGCATGCTGTTGCCATAGTCATGAATAAAATACAATTACATCCACCACACATGGTGCACAGAGTTCAGAATCTATCTGACTGCACCTCGATCAAATCCATCAAATCCACCTGAGCCACAACTTAGACCAGCTTTTAGTTGGTGTAAAGATTAGTCTACTTTCAGCCACCAAATTGTCAAGTGCACCGACTGCGTGTCAAAGTAAACGCCCTCGGTTTGCCGGAATGTCAATTTGGCACAGTGCGGTCTGTGAAAATTCCGAAGGATTGCACCTGCACGAAACTCAAGGTATGCCAGGTTTACCCAATCTCTACTGGTACTGCGGTGTCTATGAAAATATTTTTTCTCCAATTAGTTTTGAAATGAATTGTGTCGTTACATATTTGTGAATAGTTTTTACGATTTAATTTTTATTATTAATTGTTAATGTTAGTCTATTGGTGTCATATCGACATACGTAATGTAAGAATAAATGTCTGTTTTGTGTGTTAGTTTTTATAGACAGAGTTGCGATGCATACGTAGCTGATTTTTATGTATATTCTGAACGTCTGACAGCAACTCAAAATGTGAAATTTTTAGAGTACTATTTCTCTGCATAGCGCCTCTCAAATGTGTCATTTTTTTCTTTAGTCGTTGTTAGGAGTCATCTGAACATACGTAAGTGCAAGAATTTTAAAAAATTTTTAGGAGCTTTGGCATAACTTACGAATGTACATGAACGTGTCACCACAACAACACAACTTTTTTTCCTCTACATTTATTAAATTTTATATTATTAGTGTGTTTTCCATTTTCTAATCGTGCGTATAATGTTTTTATATTATACGGTACAGTATATATATATATATATATACTGTATATCCCTCCATATTGGGCGGGTCGCAAACAGGATGTGGGCTCGGCTTGGGTGAAAGGGGAAAGGGGAAAGGTCGGAGTTCGCCATGTTGTTGTCTTTGTGTAAAGGAGTGAAGCTCGGTCTCACATCGCTCTTCCCTCTTCCCCCGAGTCCTCTCTAAACTCTTCCCCCCCTGGGTTTCTACCCTCCCGAACCTCTCCCCTTCTACCCTCATAACCCCAACCCACCCCCCGGTCACCTTCCAGCGCGCGAACCGGGTAAGTTATGCCTCCGACTTAAGATGTTTACGTTGGCAGTGTTGTTGTGGTCCGAAGAAGCGGTAAGAAATCGCGCTTTAGCTTAGCTTTTAGCACCGTGCAGGCCTCAGCGGCCGCGGTGAGTGCGCCGTCTAAAATTAGCTTTGTTAGCTTAGCTAGCCACCGGAAACGTCAAGCGTGGCGCTTCTTTACAGCGCAAATTACCTTTTGTTTGAACCAGATTTTTACGAATAGCGTCTAGTTTGACGTGGGTGTCGTCTATTGTGAAGCATAATGTCACTACGTTGAATAAAATAGAAGTTGGGAGTTAGCATTGCTACCTATCGTGCGCATGCTCACCCCCCCCCCCTCCTCCTCCACTTAGAAGCCTCAAAAATGAACATCTCTCCAAACGCTACTACTTCATTCTGAAGTAAACGCCCAGAACCCATTTAGGAGACGTATAAGTTGTTTAGTCATCAATCTGGAGACTTACGTTTCAATAAAGTGTTTTTTAAATAGGTTTATTGAGGTGGGTGGGAAACGCCGACTTGGCACGATGTTAATGATGACGAAACGGTTAGCCGGCTAGCGATGTTGGCCGTTTGATCGCTTTTACCCCTATTTACTCACCAAACGTATTTAACTATGTTTGCACAGCCTCGGTTCTGTTGTCTATGTTGTCACCCTAAAGTAAAACACATTTGGAAGCGTGCTTGTGAGTCTTTTGGGGTTACTTTCTACGTTAGCGTATGCCTTAACTTTGGAAAGCCGTTCCAGCATTTATTCGATATCCTTTAAAATGCAATTTAAGGTCTATTGGCAGGTACACGATTTGACCTCACTAGTAAGCCACCGCGGCACACGAGTAGAATGACTGCGTTTACTATTTACTAGCTACTATCTTACTAGCGAAGCAAAACTGCAACTAGTACTACTCGTGAAGAGCCAGATGTTAACAAGTTGAAATTTCGGCTTCACAGCCATGTGAGTATCTCTTGATCTATCTTAAGTCGTGATGGGCTAGTACTGATACTAGGCTTCAAAACTTGCCTTATTTCTGATATCAGGTATATGTACTCATGAAGGCCGTTGATACAAACTGCCGAAAATGGTATTATCGAATATCCCAAATATTAAAGTACACGGTCTGGTGTGCTCTTTGTACTCACTTGTAAGACAATTCAGCACGCTTGTTGAATGTGTTACTAGTTGTTTTTGTCAACTCGTAGAATTTTATCATGTCACGAGTGATACTAGTAGTAAGCAGAGCAGTTATCTACGAGTGCACAGCTTTGCCTCAATAGTAACATGTAGTTGTCCCAATAGTATGCCAAAGTTTCAGTACATTGAGTAGATGTTCAAATGGCTTCGAAACTCTTTGTCCTTACCACTAAGACAATTCAAGCACACTAATGTTTTTGCTTCCACCACCGTATTGCATTTATTTCTGCACATTAGTAGGACAAAAATTCTAGTGGGCAATTTGGTGCTACCAATTGGGTCATGGAGGATACCAGTTTGTGACGCATTTATACTATACTATACACCCATCCACTTTATAATTCACAAGTTTGTGGGCGTGCTGGAGCCTATCCCAGCTGTCTTGGGGCAGTCGGCAGGGTACACCCTACACTGGTTGCCAGCCAGTCACAGGGTACACACATAGACGAACAACCATCTGCGCTCACAATCACACCTAAAGACAATTTAGAGTGTTCTATTAACCTGCCATGCTTGCTTTTGGAATGTGGGAGGAGACCGGACAACCCAGAGAAATCCCACGCACGTACCGAGAGAACATACAAACCTCACACAAGAAGGCCGGAGCCGGAATCGAACCCTGCACCTCTGCACCGTGAGGCGGACTTGCTCACCAGTCAACCGGTGTGCCAGTACATACATACTATTGGGGTGTAACAGATGTACGAGTACTGAACAGTAGTTTCCTATTCCGTTTTGATGCACTCTAGTAGTGGACAAATGTTTCTAATTGAAAGGTCAAGGGATGCAGTAGCACATTAACAAGCAGGACAACTTTTTTTTTTTTTTTAAATAACTACTCCCACTCTTGACTGATGAGACTTTTTAAAATATCTTTAACTGGCCACTTACTGTACTTTGTTAGTATTTTCATGTTGCAACATATTGCACCCTCTCCCTCCAGATCATCTCAGTGACCAAAGAGCCCCCGCCCCTATCCCCACAAGTTCGGCACAGAAGTCTCACCCACAGCAGCTGCAGCTATGGACTCCGGTGTGATTGAAGGAGGGCTCAATGTCACCCTTACCATTAGGCTGCTCATGCACGGCAAGGTGAGGTGTGTCATTTTTCGCCTGAATGACCCCCCCCCAACCTCCAGGGACTGATGTGATGAGTCATGGTATTGACGTGGTACAGCTGAGTACTGCTACACAAGAAACATGTCGCTGTGATATCCTGACAGTGGAACCTGTACGCGTTGTATAAAGTGTGTTTACGTAGCTTGCACAATTCGATATTCAATGGCCGCCACAGGGCTGCAACCATTAATGAACTAAAATAATTCTCAGCCTCCAAGCTTGGCAGAGATCATTTTTCCACATGGACTAATGCTACTGCAGACACATGCATCACTCTGCACATAGGGGGTGAGGGATAGACCCAATAAGCCGATCAGCAGAAAACGTGATTCTAAAAATGTTCATAAGTTGTTGCACTAAAATGGTGTGTGTAATGGATGTGAAATGAATCGTGTTGCTCATATTTTACTGAGTTGCTAGAACCTTTCCCACGTCACACTCATTTCCATTTCTTGTGCAGTGGAGTCAAAATTAATCACTTATCAAATTAATCGGAACACCGGCAGAATATTTAAACGTCGCTTGTTGAGGCTCACTTATAATAAAGCCACTGTAAGTCAAAGAAAAAGCCAAATGAGGTGCGTAGATTTTGATTGTGTGATATTTGCTGAAATGAGGTCTCACTTGGTCATGTGGGTGTCTCGCGAAAGGATTCATGCATCTTGAGGGGTGAAGTTTTCGTGTTAATTTTGAAATCTGGGCCGTTTGATTCAGAACTATTTAAAAAAAAAAGTCTATTTTCCCCAAAATGTGCCAAAGGTCATGGATGTTGTTTTGTAATTTCAGGAAGTTGGCAGCATCATTGGAAAGGTAAGGCTTCACAGAACACAATTACACTAAAATGTGTCTTCCCGGTACTAAACATGACTTATTTGTCCTGCTTTTTAGAAAGGCGAATCTGTGAAGAAGATGAGAGAAGAGGTGCCTTCCCTTCATGTCCTCTCCTACAAATAAGCATAACGCGACGGTTTTAATTGCCAAGTGGTTGTTTTTCATGTCCCGGCTTGTGATTTTTCCACACAGAGCGGGGCACGCATCAACATCTCTGAGGGCAACTGTCCCGAGAGGATCATCACTCTGGCAGGGCCTACCACCGCCATTTTCAAGGCCTTCTCCATGATCATTGATAAACTGGAAGAGGTGTGTCACCACTGAATCTTGGATGGACAACCATAAATCAGTGTTTCCCAACCTAATACCGATTCAAGGCAACACTACTGAACAAGAATGTCACATTTGAAGTCTATGCCAATATTGTGCATCCCTCACAATAATACTGGTATATACTTGTATTTGTAATTATTGGATCTTCTGCTTTTAAGTGGAAGAGCCATTTCATTATACTTGTCTTTATATGTCACTGGCATAGATAGGGAATTATATTAATATTGCTAATAGCAAAAATGCACGTATAACCGATGCTTATTGAAATGCATTGCAGGAAAAACGTATTTTGTAGTAAAGATGACATTTTCAGACCAAGTAACCAAATGGACCAAATTGTGCCCTCAGGACATCACCAGCTCGATGACAAACAGCACAGCCACCAGCAAGCCCCCAGTGACCCTCCGCATCGTGGTGCCCGCCAGCCAGTGCGGCTCGCTCATTGGCAAAGGTGGCTGCAAGATTAAAGAAATCCGAGAGGTACGCATCCTCCTTTAGAAGCCAAACAAAAGCAGATCCCGGCGTCGTCGTCTCCCCCCCTGTACCCACCTCACCTACTTCCCTTTGATTTGTTGTGCTGTCAGTCAACCAGTGCTCAGGTCCAAGTGGCAGGTGACATGCTGCCCAACTCCACGGAGCGCGCCATCAGCATAGCTGGCACGCCCCAGTCGATCATCGAGTGCGTCAAGCAGATCTGTGTTGTCATGCTCGAGGTAAGCGGGAACCTACATAAGAACCACGTTTGCTACTCCCTTTGGTTTCAACAACCACTCAACATCCTTTGCAGCAGATTTTTTGTTGCTCACCATCTGATGTTGCAAACTCGACTGATTGGAAAATCACTGACAAAACGTTGCATCTTTCGTAAACTAGTTCTCTCTGTTCGATGCCATGTTGTCAGCGTTAACGGTGGCAAACCAGCCTCATAATACCAATCCAAAAAAAACCCCAAATTTACAGGTTGTACAAGAACCAGTGGATGAAAAATGCACTCGCACTGTCTCAAATTTTAGGGGCAAAATGTAAACATTTATGGGCAGTTTTGGAGCCTTGGTACCAACACGTAAAATGAAATAAGATTATTCATTACTTGATTCTTATGTGGGTATCGCCAAGTATGGGTCAGGTGGCAGTCCTCGAGTTTTTATAATGAGTTCAGATTATGTATACTGTACATATATCAGTTTGTTTCCATGTGTGAACAATTGGAGTTTATTGTTTTTTGGGGCAAGTCCTTTATTTGTACAAACATACTTTTTACAACAATATTAATATTACTTTCTCATTCTAGTATAAACAATCAATGGAGATAAGCTGTTTGTTGTGTGGGCTTTATTTTTACAAATATAGTAGATGGTATATTAATGAAACTCGTGTCAACGGTGTTTTTCAAATAAAATATATATTTGTATGAAGTAAGGGAAACTGTTATCTGTTGTTGTGAGACGTTTATTTGTTTCAAATAGACGCACCTGATGATGATTTGGCATGCAGAAAGCCACAATTTGAGGAAACGGTGTTAATAACAGCTTGAGGTTTCGTCGTTACGGGATTTGTCCCGCACTTATATCTCAGCTGAGGTTGTGCTCATGCATCTGTCTTGGGTGTCCCTTGCAGTCTCCCCCGAAAGGCGTCACGATTCCCTACCGACCCAAACCTTCAGGATCTCCTGTTATCTTCGCAGGTGGACAGGTACGTCACACTTATTTGCTCGCTTTGAGATGTCATAGGTCGATGTGTTTGTGTACAAATCTGAGAAATAAGCTCCTCTTTTCTCTGGCTTTCCTCCATTTCCCTTTCATGTCACTAAAGATGTTTCCTTCGCAAGAAATGTGGAGACTTTGGACGGGACTTGTTGTTGTTGATCTTTTTATTAGCTTTAGCCGGCGTCCGATGCAAGGCCTGTGAAAGTTGTGTTCTCATTTGTTTCAGGCGTATGCCGTGCAAGGACAGCATGCCATTCCACAACCAGATGTAAGTGAAGTTTCCGCCTGTGCCAGAGACTGCAACGCGCTGATGCCACCCGCCCCCATTGCGCTTGTTTGACAGAAATGGAAATTTTTGTTTCTCGATGTTGACATTGCTCATGTTCATTCAGTTCCTCTAATGGCTGCCAGTTCCTTTTAGTCAAGCTTAGTGAGTGACAGCTCGTCAAGCAACTGAATTGTGCTTGCCAAAAATTGGCAAACCGGATCGGCATCTTCATTGTCAGGGTTTCTTTTTCTGGAAGTTTTTGACTCAGGGTTAGAGCACAAATCATCATCCGTTTTTCGCATGGTTTTACCGGTAGCAAGGTAACTCCACTTCCATCCATTTTCTATAAATCTTGATATCTTCAGCCTCTTTTACAAAGAGATCAGATGTAAAATAAAAAAAAACTTTTTTTTTTTTTTTTTTTTTAAGGAAATGGCTAATTTGTTCTTTGCGCCTTTTTTTGGTTTGTTTTATAAAATACAATAAAATGCACTGTTCTATAGTACCAAACTATCACTATTAGTACAGGCCAGCCAAAGTGGTAGAAAGTTGCTACATAGTGTCGCGTAATTAGATGACCCCTGATTGGTGCTAGCATCTGCTGTGACTAATCAAGTCCTTTCTGCCATTCATTCGCACTCAAGACACAGTCACACCTTTTGTTTACTGGTGCTGGCCCCAAAGGCGAATGATTACCGAATCGATTTCTTACCACCACATCCTTTGACAGTGTTCTGTATCAAACAGAACAGCAACCTGCACAATTTTTGACAGGCAGAGACCGTTGCCAATCAGATCATGACGTACAATTGCGCCACCTACTTGAGTGCGGGCTGTTTGCTTTCCTGAACGTGGTAGTCGTGGTTTTTGCTAGAGTTACATTCACGTTGGTAGATTAGACTGTCTAAATGGGTCCAGTCCAGTGCGCGTCCAGCATTTGTTTGTTCGGGTTTGTCCAGACTCTCCACCTGTCCATCAATGACCATCTTCTGCTCTGCTCCTTACTCTGTCCTTTAAATAATCCCATGTTTCCCCTTGACTTGATTTTCTTTTGCCTACCTACCTCAAGCATCCTTCCCCTTTTAATCGTCCTTAGAAGCTCCTCTTTAAATGCTTTATGTCACAGTGAAGTGAGGGAATGTTGTTTGCTGGACACTGTAGGTACACCCACACGTACACCATGAAAACTGGTGTCAAAATTTCTGCATTTTCAACCGTTGGATTTACACACTGGGTCCAAGTGCCGAACTCCCAATTTAATGGCAGCGATTGTTGATTTCAAGTGACAAACTCTGTATGACAGTGTTTACAGCGAGAGAACACATGAAACTGCAGCTCAAATTCGATGTATACCACAATGCTTCATATCCCAGTTGTGATACTAAAAATCTGAATTGTCACCCGAACGCTGGAGTAAAAATATAGCCTGGTGGGATTTGATTGACACCTCAGAGGGATTAGGTCTTTTTTTTTTCTTTTTGTACTCTACTGCAATTTACATCCCTCCCTTCAGATGTGTTATTTGTATGTTTTGAACTGACTTTGATTTGTGTCGTTTTCTTCCCCTTTTCACTCCTTGTTTTCCCTCCAATCTTCCTCTTCCTCCTCCTCTCTCCCCCTCTCACAGTCTTCCTCTGCTGCTATCTCTCCACAGCTCACCAAACTTCACCAGCTGGCTATGCAGCAGAGCCCCTTCCCCATTGCACACAGCAACCAGGGATTCACCGGTATGTGCTGTAAAATGGACATCTGGATCCCAATGTGCTACAATTTCTCATCTTTTTAATTTTTTTTTTCTTTAAGGAATTGACGCTTCCGCTCAGACTAGTTCTAATGAGATGAAAATTCCGAACGAGGTAAGCTTTCTTCCAAAAGTTTGGGTGGGGGTGCCTTTAAGTAGTTCTCGGCTAAGCTCCTCCTCTTCTTCAGCTTATTGGCTGCATCATCGGCCGCCAGGGCGCTAAGATCAACGAGATCAGACAAATGTCGGGCGCCCAGATCAAGATTGCAAACCCGGTGGACGGTTCCACCGATCGACAGGTGACCATCACGGGCTCGCCTGCTAGCATCAGCTTGGCGGAATACCTCATCAATGTACACACTGGGTCCAAGTGCCGAACTCCCAATTTAATGGCAGCGATTGTTGATTTCAAGTGACAAACTCTGTATGACAGTGTTTACAGCGAGAGAACACATGAAACTGCAGCTCAAATTCGATGTATACCACAATGCTTCATATCCCAGTTGTGATACTAAAAATCTGAATTGTCACCCGAACGCTGGAGTAAAAATATAGCCTGGTGGGATTTGATTGACACCTCAGAGGGATTAGGTCTTTTTTTTTTCTTTTTGTACTCTACTGCAATTTACATCCCTCCCTTCAGATGTGTTATTTGTATGTTTTGAACTGACTTTGATTTGTGTCGTTTTCTTCCCCTTTTCACTCCTTGTTTTCCCTCCAATCTTCCTCTTCCTCCTCCTCTCTCCCCCTCTCACAGTCTTCCTCTGCTGCTATCTCTCCACAGCTCACCAAACTTCACCAGCTGGCTATGCAGCAGAGCCCCTTCCCCATTGCACACAGCAACCAGGGATTCACCGGTATGTGCTGTAAAATGGACATCTGGATCCCAATGTGCTACAATTTCTCATCTTTTTAATTTTTTTTTTTTTCTTTAAGGAATTGACGCTTCCGCTCAGACTAGTTCTAATGAGATGAAAATTCCGAACGAGGTAAGCTTTCTTCCAAAAGTTTGGGTGGGGGTGCCTTTAAGTAGTTCTCGGCTAAGCTCCTCCTCTTCTTCAGCTTATTGGCTGCATCATCGGCCGCCAGGGCGCTAAGATCAACGAGATCAGACAAATGTCGGGCGCCCAGATCAAGATTGCAAACCCGGTGGACGGTTCCACCGATCGACAGGTGACCATCACGGGCTCGCCTGCTAGCATCAGCTTGGCGGAATACCTCATCAATGCCAGGTCAGTACGCACGACCACATGTCAGTCAATTGAAGTGAAAGCCAAATAAAGACCAAGCAGTAAAATTCAGTTCGGTACGGACTAAAATTTCCACGATCAGCTTTGGAGGAAAATTAACAACTACAATGTTAGGGGCAGAGAGGCCTGCTGCGAATAGCGAAAACCTGCATGTAATTGACATTCCCCCTAAAAAGGTTGGATCATTCCCCGTAGATGAACATGATGGTGGTAATTTCATTACATTGGCTTGTGGTCTGACTAAATGAAGCTCCTTCCCTCACTTCATAGTTTCTTTGCACCAAGATGCCCTAAAATGGCTCTAAAGCAAACATTTATGTTTGACTGGGATATTGAGCAAATAACTGAGGATATGTTGTCGCCCCCTAAAAAAATACACAGTAGGTCACAAGAATATTTTTTCATACAGACTAAGATTAATGCAATCGCACATACCACTCCATATAAAAACAAACTGGCGCAATGACGGTTAGCCAGGATGAGGGGGTCCCTGAAAGACAGAGAAAGTGTAAGGGTTGGATCATTTTCACAAAACGATGAAATGCAAAACAAAACTTTTGCAGTATAACAGTATGCCTAGGCGGTAGCACATGGTAATGTATCAATGTTACCTAATTTTAATAAACAAACGGTAAAGAAATGAAAATGTAATGCCCAGGCGGCGCATGAATGCGCAGACATGCTAACCTGAGCTAATAGCCAACAACTCTTGTTCACTAATGCACGTCACGCATCCGGCCACGGGCCCCCTTTTAAAGCCACGCACATTCATCGTCAGAGATACTACAGTGAAGAAAATTATACACTTCAGGTGGAATTAGAATGATGAAAAATATATTTGATCCGTAGGTGGTGGGTACATAAGCTGTGGCGAAGTGAACTGTACTGCTTAGTGGAGACGCAAGATGCCGCTGTTATTAACTCATGCGCTGTTGGCTCTTGTCCACTGTCCAACAAAAAACATACATCTAAATTTTGAGTGAACCCCTTGTATAAATATTAGTTCTATTAGTATTCATAAGAATTCATGACATAAATAATATAAATTGGATTATAGTTATATTCCATTAATAAAGTAATATAAGAATTCATAGAATCAATAAAGATGAATTATTTGCTTTGTAGAAAATGCACAACATTTGGATTTCACATGCACTTTATTGGACAACAATATACCGGCATGTACCAGAGCGTGCCCAGCTCTTTATTGGCCCGCAGCCTTGTTTTGATCGACATGACACGCTCACGTTTCACGGTCCCCTTCCCGGGGAGGAAGAAAAAAAAAATCACAACTTCCCTTCCTCTGCCATTTGCCCACCGACCAGCCTGCCCTGTGACCCATCCCGACTGTGTTCTCCCTCTTTCTCTCTCCTTGTCTCTTTTTCTACAGTGTAGAGTCCTCTAAACCTCCTCCTCCTCCCTCCTCCTCCTCCTCCTCCTCTTCCTCCTCCTTGAACCCCGAACCGAGGGAGGAAGGCCCTTCCTCCACCTCTACTACTACTACTACTACTACCACTGCTACTACTACTAGCACCTCCTCTGCTTCCTCCTCCTGTGTGGTGCCCCCCTCAGCCTCCATCCCTCTGTCCTTGTTACCTCCTGGGCCTCCTCCTTCTTCCTCCTCCACATCCTCCTCCTCCGACCCCTCACCTGCCTGTGTGTCCAGTCTGCTCACACTCAAGCCCCTGCCTCTGCTGGCCCTCCATGTTGTCAGCGGGGCCGCCAATTCTGAGCCCAAAATGGCCCCCGAGCTGGGCTCCAAGTCCAAGCGGCGACGGCTCTCCCCTTACTAACGCATCCACTATCTACACTTGCTTTGGCCACGTGTACTTAACATACACACACACACTATACTTAAACCACACACACGTACACCACACCATGTTGCAAGATTTCTGGTAAGTTCACAGTAAATTTCCATGGGAAGATATGCCGAGGCATTTTTGAATTAACTGGAAATTGAGTAATTTAATGCAAAGGTATCATTGCATCGCTGCCATTGGGCAGAATCCTCGTACTTCCAAATCATTTTTCAGGAGACTCGTACGGTTTAAGAAAAAAAGATAACGCCCACAATGTGGACTGACTTGTGATTTGTGAAAAAAAAAGAAAAGAAATTGACCAAATTGTGAATAAGGAGGAGGACTCACATCACAGTGCCAAAGGGCTCATGTAACGACTCCCCTCATCAGAGTTTGGCCACGTGACATGTGCAAGCTGAGTCGTCATTGGTCATTACCTGAGCCCTGAGAAACTATGATGTCATTTTCAGTCAACAGCAAGTGGCAAAATGGCCGCCACCCCCGAGATGGATAAAAACGGGTGGATTTTGTTGCTTAATTCATCGTCCTCAAATGCAGTATTCATCTGAATACTGCATTTACACTTGCGGGGCTGCAAAGAACATATTCTTGTCAAGAAATTGTTTGACTTGGCTTCCTCTTCCAGTTGCCTTTTTATGAGCCAACCCTCAGTTTAGTGAAGTCCCGGTTTTCCACGAAATCCCTTGGAAACTTTGCATCTTTTTAAATTACCTGAATTTTGCAACCCGACATGCAGGCACACACACACACACACGCACACACACGCAGTTTGCTGCCATATTTACTCTATTGCCTGTCAAGTGTTATTATTATTACTATTGAGTTTTGCATGCAGCGCGGATGTGGCCGCTGAAGCCTTTTTTCCTCTTTGTGGTGTAAGCTGTGCTCAGGTAGCGGCTCTTTCTCCTCAGAGGATGTCATGCTTGCGCCAGTTTGATTTGTTTAGGCATCACCATGGTGACTGCGAGTGCTTTTTTTTCCCCGCCCCATGTACATAAAGGAGCTTTAGTCCTCGCTCAGGTATACACACCATGAATTCAAGTTGAGCTTTGACATTTTTGGGGGGGGATGTTTTTAATGAACCTAATTTCTATGATTTAAATTAAAGTCTGTATTCCTAACCATTAGTCCACTGGCCGCCGTTTGCGAATTTCTTTATTTCAGGCTCAATGCATGTGTGTGTGTGTGTGTGCGTGTGTGTGTGTGTGTGTGTGTGTGTGTGTGTGTGTGTGTGTGTGTGTGTGTGTGTGTGTGTGTGTGTGTGTGTGTGTCAACAAATTGGTGGGTCTGTGAAACTGGAACCTTTTATGTCGGGGCTTTACTGCTCTAACTCTATGTCTTCTGTCGAGCTCTGAAGCACGCACTTTCCGAAGTGGTGTTGCATGAGTTGAAGCCTGCTCTTGTGGGGTTGGATCCAGTGTTGCACTAGAAACGCAATATGGGACCGCCCCTTATCTGTCCAAATTAGATTTCGACCATTCTGAACAATGACTTTTCTCTATTTATGCACTAAACTTAAAATTGACAAAAATGTAGTTAGCCCACTCAAGTTCTCAGCAGCTAAAAAATACACAAACCACTGGAAAATACCACAGAAAAAAAAATTTTAAAGTTAAACCCCACCACCTTTCAAGATGCCAAACAAATGCTTTTTCCCGTAGGAAATAATTCATTTGTTCCAGGACTTGTTTTGGCTAACATTTTAAACATTGTCGTGCATAAAATGTAAAAAGGGGAGTAAGCCAATGTCCATTCAAACTACATTAAAGTAAAACTGCTCATCTTTTGAAGATGCCTGCCACATAATGGAGAATGAACAGGAAGATGTTGCTTGTGTATTTACGGTTACTGCACATGCGTTTGTGCCTGTTCCACCAGGGGGCAGTATATTACATACAGTTATACCACATGTAAATTTCAGTTTTTTTGTACACCATGTCACATTGAAGCACTGGTATTGCTTTGCAAAAAAAACAAAAACAAATTTCTAGTCATCACTAGGTGGCGCTATGTCGAACAAAATATCCTATAGATGTCTTCAGGTTGCGACTTACGCACATGTTTAGTGAGGGATTTTTTGGGGGGGGGCATGCGCAGGGGTGTTATTCAGCATTTCCTCCTCCTGTGGCAAAAGAAATATTAAAAAAATGTGGATTAAAAAAAAAAAGTATCATGATACCATACTGCCTTTACACAAGTCCTCTTTCACACACTTTTCACCACACATGCACCTCTTCAACCCAGTATGGTGTCTCGTCCCCCCGCAGCATTAATGCATAACTTTTCTGCTCGATCAGAATTTCACGTCCGTCCTGGAGCAAAGCCTCAGCCCTCATTGTTCACTACTGGAACTCGTGGCAAAAAACAAAACAAAACAAAAACAATCCTGGCAGAATGAAAATGGCGTTGGTCTCCAACCGTGCATTGTGTGTGTATTTGTCCCGCTCCAGGCTTTCCTCGGAGGCCACCGGACTGGCAGCCAACTGATGAGACTCCCAGTCTGCACTACATCTCACCACCACCAACAACATCAACGACAAAAAAGCTATATTACACCTATATAACACCTTTTTCTTCCTTTGTTAGCATCACTTCATCCACAGCCTCCGTGATTATTTATTTTATTTTTTTTTGTTTTAGTCCACCCCTAAACTAGGATTTTAATACCCCATTTTTTTTTTTGGGAGATGGGGTTTTAAATCAGTTGAGATTTTTTTTTTTTAAAATATTAGTCTTGATCCCCTTTTGCAACTTTCATGTTTCAGTGCTGCCGTAAAGAAAGATTTAGATTTAGTTGTGTACAGCGTAGATTTCTTTGAAAGAAAAAAAAAAGACACAAATAAAGGATCAAAAAGAAGAATAGAGTCACTCTTTTTATTCCCCTAAAAATATATTTTGTTACACATCAGAGAGTAGCTATACGCGTACACTTGGTCACTGATACGATACGTTGTAGGCACGTTCCCTTTTGTTGTCATTCCCCTCCTTGGATCACGTTTTATTTTTTGCTGGGTTGGGAGGTGTTTTTTTGTCCGGGTTTTTTGAGGGGAAAGCTTTTTTTGTTGTAAAAACTGCTATATACTTAAAAAAAGTTGGAATATTTGTTTTAAATGGAAGTATTTTTTTTAACTACCAAAGGATGGCAGAGAGGGGAGGGATACTGGCACACACGTGTATGAGGCTATTACGAAGAAAACAAAATGAAGGCAAAGAAGGGGTTGTGAGCTAGCACTAGTTAGCTGCTCTTTGCTTTGCTAAGTTAATTGATTTTTTTAAAATTGTTATTATTTGCAGGAAAAAGGACATTTGTGCACGTTTTTCCTTTTCTGAGACTAGATCTTGGGTGCCACAAATTTGTTAAAAAAAAAAGTGAAATAAAAATGTGAAATGCTCTAAACACACTGACTGGGCTTGTTGTCCTTAATATTATATTTAGATGGGTTGTGAAATGTCTTTGTTGGACACTAATGCAGTAAAAGAAGAAAAAAAAAAGTAAATGGTCTAACCCCGATCATCCAGTCTTGCAGTCCCTGCACTGTGATGCACTAAAACATTGTTTTCCAACCATTATAAAGCCAAGGCACATGTTTCACATCGGGAAAAAAAAAAATCATGGCACAATATTGAGCAAAACGGCTCATAAGAAGGCATACATAGGTTAATTCTGTGACTCCTCTCATCTAGTGGAAGATTTGATTGTTCTGCCTGTTTCGCTGTGTGGTTGGCATTGAATAATTAAAACGTTTTTTATTGCAAAAAAATCCAAATAAAATCGACATTGGATAATTTCACGGATAATTTCAATCATTCTCATGGCACACTGGTTGGGAGTCTCTGCACTAGAGGGCGCTGTAGACTTTTTGAGGGTTTTTTTTTTTTTTGCTTGCAATCAAGTTCCTACCTTGGTTCATTTGCAAAGTTCCCTATCATGGGATTAAAACAATTTACTCAGCTGCAGAGAGCACCAGGCACTTATTAGAAGTAATTGATTTGTGTCAATCAATTCCAGTGTTTAGAGAGAGAGCGAGAGAATGAGGAAGTGTGTGTGTGTGTGTGTGTGTGTGTGTCTGTGTGTGTGTGTGTGCGTGTGCGTGTGTGTGAAGTATCTGGACGGAGCTCTGACAGAATGAGGATTCCAAAAGTGTAGACAGATACCGGTAGTATGGAAAAAATGTTTTTAACAAAGCAACACAGGACCGACAACGTACAACTCGGGACGCTGTTGACAAAGAAGCTGGAAAGTGCGGAACAAACAAAAAGCGTTTGCAACAGTCAAGGAACGACAAAAACATAAATAGCTTGTGAACTAAAGGGACAAGAGAATCCAAAACAGAGACTACACCATAATGAAAAAAATACAAAAAAACCACCATGAACGACGTGGCAAAAATGGAGAGTGTCTAGAAAATTGAAGCGCTTGGAAAAAGAGTCGTGAGCATGGTTTAATAATCCGACAGCCAGATGTCCGCGTGTTGTGGTTTATAAAGTAGACAGTAACGAGGCTAGATTCAAGTCTGGCACGGCTCATGAGGGAGAAGCCCACACTCCAGCCTGAGAGTGTGTGTGTGTCAAACGAGACAGGATCGTGTGTGTGTGTGTGTGTGTGTGTGTGTGAGTGTGTGTGTGTGTGTGTGTTACACACATGTGTATATGTCTGTCGAAAATACCATACAATTCAAATAAAACAATTTTTATGGAAAATTGACAAATGAGCAGGACTGTGTCTGCTGGATTTTTTTCCCCAAGTAATTAAATTGTGCATTTCTCGGATGATCAGGAATAGAAATTGTCTGCCTCATTTTGCTAGAAATCTGCCATCTTTATTGTATCGCATTCAATGCACCCTCTTTACAAAGCTTACTTCTAAACCATAAATATCCAATATGTATATATCAGAAGCATGCTTTTTTTTTTTTTTAAACTAAAAAAAAGTATTTACATTCAGAGAAATAGTCCAGTAGATGCTGCTATAGACTTGGACATATTGCTTCTTCTTTGTTCACATAACTCTTCCTCTTTTGTTCCCCCGCGTTGGGATGCGCAAGCAAGGATACATTCAAATAACAAACACAAAAAAAAAAAAAAGCTTCATGTGGTCAACAAGTAGAAACATCAGCACCTTCTTTTTTTTTTTTTTTTAAACGATACAATCTCACGCATTAGAAATTTGTTCATTTTACACGGGCGGCTTTTCTTTATGTACACGTAGAAAATGGCAATGTAGTTGACGACGACACAATGTGAATATTCTTGAAGACAAATAAATAAATAAACAGACGACAGAGTGCATAATTAGGCCAAACAAAACCTGATTGGATTCCGTCACGTGACACAGTGAGAAACCACACACACTTTGTTCAGTCCGCTCAAAAAGTCCTCATGTCCTGCCTTTGCTGTGTGCGCGTGTTTGTGATGACAAGGGGTTCAATGAGCCCCGTCTAGCGTACAGGGTTGGGCTGGTGGTGACCTTCACCAGTTCTGGCTGGGCTCCACGCAGCCCGGGTGGTCCAACTCCGCGCTGTCGCAGTCTGAGTCATCGTAGAGAGCCTTAAAAAAAAAAAAAAAAAAAAAAAAAGATGTTTATAGGGGAGAAGGCATTTATTTGAGATGATGCTTTTACTTATGATTTACGTAGATTTCCCACAACTATACATATAACATATGTTTGTCGGGTATGTTTTTTTAATTAATTTATTTTTTTAATAATTAGCATTCTCATAGTCACGACACATTTGAACCTTTTATGCGTGGAAGGCTGAAGGAGCAGAGCCCTCAAGAGGAATGCAAACTCACCTCGTCGTAGTTGAGCTCGTGAGTGGCAAGCTGCGTCTTGACGTGGCGGACGGCGGCCTCCTTCTCGGACAGGCCGTCGGAGGCGGCGGGATCGGCGGGGATCTCGGAGCCCTGTGAGAGGAGGTCGTCGCTCTTGTCATCCAGGCGTTCATCCGTGTTGGTGCTGACCACGTCGGGCGTGCCGCTGTGCGAATGGTCCGTGGTGTTGCCTTCCTCGCCGTCCGACACTGACAGGTTCTCTGAGCTGAATGTGGACAGCGACTGGCATTTGCTCATGCTCGCCGGCCTCCTGGGGTCAAATGAAAAGGACACCACGTCAGCTACGGCCGCACACAGGCCGCTTCTTACTTTGGAATGGAGACTCGAGCTCTCTAGCTAGCTAGCTAGTGAGCTAGCTAGGTAGCAAGCACACAAACTAATGTTTTATATTCATATATATGTATCAAAAGATTTCAATTTAATTATTTTTTTCTAAGCATGCGTGTATTGAAAACTGAATTTGAGTTAAAATGAAAAGAAAACTGTTTAAAAAAATGAAAAGTATTATAAAATGTAAATGTTTGAAAATGATTCTGAAATATTTCAAAATAAATAGATGATCGACAATTCAATGGTTTTAATTATATATATATATATATATATATATAGATATATGCTTAGATATTTTAACAAAAGTCAGTTAATTGGCATTCTGCATGCCCGCGCTGTTTTTTTAAAGCAATTCAATTGAAGAAATGTTTCTTCCAGAAGTGTTAAAGGTGGAGTTTGCAGTCTTCTAAAAAAAAAAAAAAACCCTCCAAAAAAATCTTAACCATTTTGTCATGTTTGTGTGTATGACCAATAGATTATTATTTAAATATTTTCTGAAATCATCTCTCTCTGACCTCATCTTATGCCTCTGATGTATTTTTTAACTGTTTGACCAAACTTGTCACGACATGTCGAAACTAGCCAATCAGAGACTGTGTAGAGACAGAAGGTGTGACCCAATGGTGTGTCAGTCATCATCAGGCATGCATGCTCGTGCACAATCAGGCCACCTGTTGTTGCCGCCCAACTCAGTCTGATTGTTGACGGACTGAAGTTTTCTTGATTGGATTACTCAACTCCACTTAACAACCAAAACTCAGAAGAATTAATTGGACAGTCCTCGAGACAAATCTAGGATCAACATTATGTTCTGGTGGTTTTCTACGCGGATGGTCAACTGGATCGCTGGAGCTGGAAAACTAAAACAAAGTCGTTGCTCTCCTGGTTGTCAGATAAGTCGATCACTTCTCTTCTATTAAAAAACCCAAAAAACAATCTATTGCCTGGCAACTTTCCATCATAAATAAGCTACGCTAACAACATTGCAGCTGTTTCTAATGACAGCTTGTACAGAGTGCATTTGCTTGTTCGTAAAGTGTGGGGGAGGGGGCAGCTGAAGTGCGGCTACATTCAAATATTGCAAGCAGCTTTAACTATAACAGACTCCACCTTTGAGAAAAGTTTTCTTGTTGTTATTATAAAATATGTGTTACTTGATGACTGATTGTGCCCAAGTGTGCGGTAATACCTTATTCCTCAATGGGGATGAATGAACATGAGGCAAAAACAAAATTGTTGCTATTCCCATTCTCGTGAAGCGATTGAGAAAAACAAACAAACAAACAAACAAACAAACACACACACTCACCATCTTCTGGGCAACTCCACTTCGCTGTCCACCTCTCCCTCCTCTTCCTCGGACGACACGCCGCGTCTCTGTGGAAAACATTCACACGCTCCATCATTCAAAAAAATCATGCAACAATTCCGGAATGTAAAGGGAAGTGTCAACAGCAACATTTGAGCCAATGAAAGCTAAAGCTCCATTTTGTTGGCTCTGTGATTGGCTAGCTGAGCAGTCCAGGTTGTATCCTGCTTCTTTTGGCCAAAGTCAGTTGGGGTAGGCTCCTGCTCACCCACAAGCCTTATGTTGAAAACATATTGCTCACTTTGCAGTGGGCTGTATTTCCTGTCCTATGGGTCATCTCACCTGACTGCGAGTGACCGCCGCCCTGTAGAGTAGCGCCGATGGCGTGAGGCGTTGACTCCTGGGCGAGCGCGTGATCACCGGGCCCTCCTCCTTCTCCTCGCCATCCTGAGGAAGGCGGGGGCTCCCGGTGGACGACGGCCGCCTCGCTGCCGCCCCCTTGCCGCACGGCGAGTCAGGACTGCTGGCGAACGGGACGGAGGTGGCGTCTTCGCTGGGCGTGTCGCTGCGCGGCGGCGTTTCCGCCAGTTCTTCCGCCCCGGCGCTCACATCCGGGCCGCCGTCCGGGCTGCCTTCCTCCAGCCCGGCCGAGGCGCTCTGGCTACCCGCCCGGTCCAGGCCGGGGACGGCCTGGCCCTTCCTGCGTCCTTCCGCCTCCAGCGTGGTGGAGATGAGGTCGGGGCTGGAGGACGACATCTTCTTGAGCAGCAGGTCGTGCTGCAGGCCCCTGAGCGCAGCGCTGGGGTCCAGACGCTGCTTGCTGCTGGGGACCGACGTGGTAGCACTGATCATGGCGAGCGATGAAGACAGCGTGGCCTTCAGCTGAGCCAGCTCGCTGCCGCTGCCTTTGCCCGCCTTCCTGTAACGAGGCTTCCCTCGGCGGGAGCGGCCGGGCGACGTGGAGCCTTTGGTGGGGATGGTCACCTGGGTCATGGAGGAGTCCAGTTTGGGAAGGATGACTTCTGACTTGAGTAAGTCTGGCCTGAAGGAGACAAAGGACACACTTCATTGAACAACGGTGACATAAAAGATGAGGGAATGACCCATATTTATTGAGTTATTTATTTGTTTTGGGCAGATTCGGATATGCGGCAGAATAAAATTCAGAAAACTGATTAATCAATCCATTAAAAAAAATCTATAATGAATAAAATAGCATCGATGAAGATGTTAGTGTTGGTTTAACTTTAGAACATAGAGGAAAAGTTGTCAAATGTGGCCATTTCATTGCAGGGGAATTTTGAATCTCATTTTCTTCATTTTATCTTGTAATGTGTTCATGTATTTAAAAAAGGAAAAAAAAAACACAAAAAGTTCAAATTTGGCACAAAATCCGCCAATTTTAAAAGCTAATTTCAGCTGATTAAATCGGTCAGTGGATTAATCGGTCGGCCCTAAAAGCGTTGTCAAAACACATCTCTGCAAGCCCAAACGTCTCGAGCCACCGTGAAGAAAAAAAAACAATGACAAAATTCAACTTTATAGATTTATAAAGTCATCTTACGAGGATGTTGTTTTTCAAGGTCAAAGGTTTTCAAGGTTGAAGTCGTTCTTTCAAGCACTTGTATATTTCCAATAAAAAAATCCTATATTTTCCAGATCGATGCATATTTTCGAAAATGTCTTATTTGAGACAAAAAAAGTATATTTTAAAAGTTTAATTCAAAACATTACAAGAATAAAGTACAGTATTTTCAAAGAAAAAAAAAGTCCGTTTTTTTTGTTTTGTTTTGTTTTTTTTAGCTGAACAGATGAAGACCAAGTGTGTTTTGCTCTCTCTTTGGCTTGTAGCAATAGACGTTCCTTTACCCGCAGAATACCACAAGATGTCAGTCTTACCCTGCAAACATGTTTTTGTTGGCTTGAAAGGTTCGGGTCATTATACTTGATTTGATCTGTATTGAACTTCAGAATACAGTGATTCATTTCTTTTCCTTCTTGTATGCCACGAATGTTAAAAATGTTACTTAAAACATTGCCTGGAAAAGTTAGTCAAGGTTTCATGATGGTGACGTTTTGACAGCGGAACTCATTCGCAATTCACAACGCAAGCCCTCATGCGGCTTCAGCAAAAGCCCTTTGTTGAGCGCGTCAAACTGACCTCTTGCTGTGCGCGGGCAGCTTCTGAGGCACGTTGCGTTTCTTCATGAGTTTCTCCATGGAGTTGGAGGAGGCCGATTGTCTGGAGCTGTGGTGCTTAAAGCAACCCGGGTACTTCTTGTCCAGCGACTGCTCCCTCCTGAGATGAACAAACGGTCAATATTCACTTGATAGCGAGAGCAGACGGCGCAGGTCGGTCCCTGCGCTGACGTCAATGTCGTCTGGAGGTGAGGTGAGCTTTCATACTTGAGCAGCTCCTTCTCCTTGAGCTCCAACTGCAGCATGATGGCGTTGAGCTCCATGTAGAGATTGTTGGCTCGCTCCAGTTTCCTCTCGTAGTGCTCCCGGATGTCAAGTGCATGTCTGTGTGGAGGTGGGGGCCGGGAGGGTGGATTGTATTATTGACTTGAGACTACAAAATTACTGCACACTGCATCTTCATTGTATTTTATTGCGAGTTATAGTGAACATTAGGTAGGAGTAAAATGATTCTGATTGAATCGGTGATGAATCCCGATTGATGTTTACAAGAATTTTTTGAACAATTCTGCTTTCTGAAAGATAAGGATCGTTTTTATGTGTTCACGACATCTTTGCTTATTGAATGGCATTGTATTTAATCGTTAGATCGTATTTTTACATTTCCTATGTTTCATTCTTTCCTCTTTGATGCACCCTGCAACCTCATAACATGGAAAGCCGTCCACTGTCGTCACCTCTATCCCTGAAAGGGTTCATATATTTTGAACAATTATTTCAGGATATTTTATATCCACTGCCCTCCGTAATTAGTCCCAACCCTGGTTAAGACGTGTTCTTTACTTTCGAATACATTCAGTTTTTTCGAAATAAATTAGGACCAGGGTGGCCCGGTGATCCAGTGGTTAGCGCGTCGACCTCACAGTGCAGAGGTCGTGGGTTCGATCCCTTCTTTGCATGTTCTCCCCGGGCCTGCGTGGGTTTTCTCCGGGTACTCCGGTTTCCTCCCACATTCCAAAAACATGTATGGCAGGCTGATTATAAACACTCTTAAATTGTCCCTAGGTGCGAGTGTGAGTGCGGACGGTTGTTCGTCTGTGTGCCCTGCGATTGGTTGGCAACCGGTTCAGGGTGTCCCCTGCCTACTGCCCGAAGACAGCTGAGATAGGCTCCAGCACCCCCCGCGACCCTTGTGAGGATAAAGCGGTTCATAAAATAGATGGATGGATGAATTAGGACCAACATTTGAGAGTTTTTTTCCCACTATTAACGAGTTCATTTGACTTCTTTATTACTTTAATAAATTCTAAATCTTGGCTTCTATTTACATTTTGCGGTTGCTACATTGCCTTAGTGGCATGCGCCACATTGCGGAGGATCTGACCTCAGTTCCTCCCTGCGCCGTTTGATGAGCTCCTCATCCAGTCGGTGAAGACATGTTCCCTCGGACTTGATCTTCTCAAAGTGGTGCCTGACCTCATCTCTCCACTCAGCCTAAAAGGAAACATCATAAAACGCGGACCTCGGTTACGAGGACCGTTCTTGAAATGAACGCACAAAAAAAAAAAAACGGCAACACTTAAATTGCCTGATACGAGCGCATTAAAATAACATTTAGCGCTTCAGAAACATTAGGAAATCATCTGCATTATGGAGACAAAAGCCATTCGGGCGATTAATGACAATCAATAACCGGGGAGCAAAAGTGAACATGAACCGACATGCCGTGAACACAAAAACACACGGACGGTGAATCGTGACAGCCGTTATTTGATACCTGTCAGAGCGTGGAGGTCAGTTATGTGTTTGTGCGTGTGTGTGTATGGGTGTGTTTCTGTGCATGAGTGATGCTCTTCTTATTAAGCTAATGGACTGGATGTGCACTCTTCAATATCGCCAGACCCTTTCTTTGCGCTCTCTCTGCTCCACACCATTAGAGAAATCAATACACTCCAGCAGCGGCAAATTCTTCTTCTCGACGTCACGAGAAAAACCCATTATGGGGCAGAGAGGAGTGAAACCGTGGAAGATCGAGGTGGGACTGGGGGAGCGAGCGGGGGCCGGTGGGTGGGGGTCGGGGTACAGGGAGAAATAATAAGCAGCGAGTGCTTTGATGGAGGTTTTTGCGCCATGACCTTTAAAGGAAATAGGCAGCATGCGTCGCATGGTTATCCGGTGTGTGTATTCTTGGCTCCTCCGACACACACCCTCCTTTTGCAATGACACACTCGACTGCTTTAGAATGACGGAGGTTGGCCGGGCATTAGCGAGTGTGACGTGCCAAACACAAAGAAATAACAGAAGCGATGTGTTTGAAGGCTCAAAGGAAGATCAATCATTAGCGGGCTCCCAGGAGGCCACAAGAGGGCCCCGCTGTAGCCGCACCAGACTGGAAACAAATGTCACGCCTTTCACAGCCAATTATTAATGGAACCTCTTCACAGGTTTTCCGGCGGATGAAAATTCGTGAAGTCACATTTAATTGAGCCACTTTTTGCGAGTGGGATTTTGTGTCGAATGGGATGCGCCGACGTTATCTGAAGGTTTTTTTTTTTTTTGGAGGGGTTACCTCTGCATTTCAAAATGGGGAATCGGAAAACCGCGTGGCAATGAAAGCATCGGTGGGACAGACGAATGACAATGGAGTGGAAAGGAAGCGCTTCTCATTAGTGGTATTTTGCGTAAAATGGAATGCTCTGGAATTAGCTGAAGTGCTAGTTTTGGCGTTACCTGTGCAGTTAGAAATGGGAAATTACGATGAGCACACCACATTGAACTCATCAGTCGAAATGAGGAATGCTAACAAAGAATGGAAGGGGAATGTGGGACCACATTCGTTACTGTATTTCTCATCCTTAGGTAATAACATTTATGGCATACATTGAGTGCGTCGAGAATCCAGACTCTAGATCAGGGGTGCCCATTACGTCGATAGCGATCAACCGGTAGATCGCGAACTGGTCCCAAGTCGATCGCAAGGTTAATGTACACTGCACCCTAATCATCCTATCAGTCTCATTTTCACAAAAAGTATATAAATCAGCATGTATTGTATTGTATTGTATTACAAAATAACAATAAAATAAAATCTGACAAATCTTTAACCTACGGTGGCGCGTGACCTGCCTCGCCGGAAGTTGTTAGCGCTCAGCGGTTCTGCAATTGCAGCTTGTCATCAGAGCTGTTGCGCTATATCTTTTATCGTTATCATTGTTCTCGTTCAGAGTTTATTTCGTGTACAATTCATCGAGGGCACGGGCAAAGAAAAGGAATCTCGAGGGCCGAGGGAAGCACTTTAAAACGCTACGCGTGAGCTACGATGGTTAACAGGCTGCAAAAGTGCATCGCATGCCTCCGTGTCAGGCTGTTGCTCATCATGGCGTGCGTGTGTATGTGCGTGCGCGGTAACGGGTCGATCGCGGGAGGTTGCTTGATCGAAAAGTCGATCTTCGGTCCAAAAAGTTTGGGCACCCCTGGTCGAGAGAGAGAGCTACTTCATTAATCCCATGAGAGTCTTGGCTCACTTGTATACCAGCACTAAAAAGGAACCACGATACCCTGCTGTCAAAAAAATGAAAGTGCACTTATTGTAGCAGCGGTACTTCTTTCAAATTCGGCGTAAAATAGAAATCTGCTTGAGTTTTTATTTGTTTTAGTATTAGTTTTATTTTATTGTTTTTTTTTAAATATACATAATGTAACATTTTTGGAGTGCAAGAAAAAGAGGGGGGTCGTCTTATAATCAGGGCCGTCTTATATTCGGGCCAATACGGTATTTCGTGAAAACCTTTTTTCATTTCATTCTTACTTTTAGCTATTTCTTTAGTTTTCGTTCCCTATTAATAAACTTAACCCCGGCTGACCTTTGGTGAGAACAGTAGGGAACCCATTCTTGACATCCAAAACCGGTTTTAAATGTGGTCTTTTCCCAGTGTAGAAGAATTGTACCTGTGACTGGAAGTAGGTTTCTTGCGGGGTCGACAAGATGTCTGCTGAAGCGATGTCCAGATGCAGGAGAATCTGTCGGAACGAGGGTCTGTTTCTTGGTTTGCAATTCCTATTTGGAGACTCGAATTAATTCGGCAAGAGAAAATGGCTTGTTTTTTTTCATATGCGTTTATCTTTAAAAAAAAAAACGCAATTTGTGTTATCTTTCCGCCTGCGTACCAGCTTTGCCTCAAGAGCAGTTTGAAGCTGTCGGGACAGCTGTCAGGTACGGGCAGCTGCAGGCTGTTATTGCCCACTCCCCAGATGATAGCAGAGGAGTCTACGTCCTTGTAGGGCACCTCTCCCGTCAGCATCTCCCACAGCACAACGCCGAAAGACCTGCACACACACACACACACACACACACACACACACACACACACACACACACACACACACATACACACACACACACACACGACGCAACGCATATTCAGTTCCAAAAAGAGTGTGACAGAAACGGATGAAAGGTGGCATTACCTAAATGTCACACTTGAAACTTTATGGAAATGCGCCCCGCCTTCCTTTGCGACTGTTATCTATGATGGACACTTAATCTCGCTTGAGCTGCACATGTCTTTGGAGATGGAAATGACACCTTTTTAGCCACTTTGATAAGAAGTGATGAAATATTTCTCCGGTATCGGCAAAATATTTTGAAAAAGTCATTGTTGTCAGAGACGAACCCCCACGAGAACGTGAGAAATCTTCAGAGAGTCTGATGTTGGCAGCTACTTTTGGTTGCCACGGTGACGATGTTTCCAAGGAGCCAAGAGCATCGCTCACTTACAGCATCCAGATGGCGTGTTTACATTTGTAACGGTGACATTTTTTTGCACCTCTCTGCTTGAATAATCAAACGTCTTGTCCAATCAGCACGGTTGCTTGTTCGAGTTAAAGAATCACCCTGTAATTGAAGGATTCAGTCGCTTCCTTTTGATCAGGGGGATAGCGTCTCTAGCGTTGGTGCGGTGACCACAGCCACTCGAGTGGTCTGTATCAGCGAGGACACTGCTCACGGAGCTTTTAACCTTAGCGTAGGTGCAGCACTTGTCCAGATTATGATTTGTTGTAAATAGATGCCACTGTTTATATGAATACATAACGTGATATAATCACACTATTAGGTTCTGTTCCCATTTAGCTGTGACCACTATTGCAATGTTCTCTGCTGGTATGATGTTGGATGCATTGAGTATATTTTTAACTGCCAATTGTTTCCGTATGTATTTTTTTTTCCCCCCACCCACAACTCTGCTGTAGAGAACTGTTGAGTCAATATCTAGGTGAAGACATAATGTTATACCAGATGAGTATGATTAGCGTATGGGCTTTAGTTTGGTCTGTTTTGCTTTTCAGAGGGCCTTGTGTGTTAAAATGCACTCTTCTGCTGCTGTTGTATTGGTATTTGCCATGCGAAAATAGGATAGGAGCAAAATCTTTTTTTACAGGCCAGGAAAAAGAAAAAAAAATGAAAGTTTGAATTTTATAAGAAAAATATTTTTGAATTTTTTTTTTTAAGAATAAAGTTATTGTTGAGTTCATTCTAGGCAATTATTATGAGTCCTACTAATCTTATTATTTTTGCGGTAGAAGGAAAAAGTACACGTGAGTTGCCTCGTTTCAACCATTGCCAATTATCATGACTTGGAAGACTGAGAATTTTCGCAAACAAAGAAAAAAAAAACACGATTTTTAGCAAGCGGTGAAATGTTTGGCTTTGGAGCAACTGTTGTCATATTTCATCTAAGTGTAAGATAACCGGGTGCTCTTACAATCAAATGAGCAGTGATCAAGTGATTTACATACATTAAGAGCCACTCTATGATATGCATAGGTGATGTGCTCTCATTCTGCATCGAAAAGCTTTTTAATCCTGTTTTCACCTCTCGGCTAATGCACTGCTGGCCCCGGGCCAAAACAGCCGCAGGATTGGAAGGTTATTCCAGCCTTTCCTGAGCACTGCAGCATCTGGCAAATCAATTATTAAATTAGCCAGCGCTCCTTTTTACGACGCGGGCAAGAGCAAAGCGGGGACGATGAGGGAGGGAGCGAGGGATGAGTAGTGGGAGAGCTGAGGGTTGAGCACAGGGCACACCATCAAACATGGCAGGGAGCCTATAGAATTTCTTGTAATGAGATCTTATGATAGATTTTCTTGAAACGAGATCCCTCGCTCTGTACAGTAGTAGCTTACAGCCCAGTCCTTTTCAAATTGGGGTCTGTGAGCCTTATCTTGGGGGTCCGCAAAAAACAAAAAACCCCAAAACAAAACAAAAACACATTTTATATAGGAATAAAGCTCTATTTTGATGAGAAAACAAGCAGTGTCTTTTTTAAATATAATCCTATTTTAAAAAGAATGGTGTATATATATATATATATATATATTTTTTTTTTTTAACAATCAAATGTGTTATTCCTTTCATTGTTAAGGCACTTTACCTTAGGAAATATCCAACGTGATACTAGAAAGATGATGACTTTTTGACTTTAATTGGTGTTATGATGATGAGGGAATATGTCACCCCTGTAAGGGAGGGGACCCTGGACCTAAAACCTTTGAGAACCCCTGATCTGATATATCACTCTCTTTAGTGATTCACAATGAAACCAGGCAAGAAAAGTTGCAAAAAGATTCACGGAGGCTACATACCAAATATCCACCTTCTCTGAGACGGGCTCGTTCCGTATGACCTCCGGCGCCATCCAGGCCACCGTACCCGCAAAGGACATCTTGGTGCTCTTATCACTCAGCTCCTTAGACGTGCCAAAATCGGAGATCTTCACCGCGTCATCATACGTGATCAGAATACTGCAAGACAAATGATCGTCAGGACCGTTTGTCGGCACTGTGCCCGGCTGTTACTTTCCAGATTGTTTACGGCGCTCACTTGGGCGATTTGAGGTCCCTGTGGATGATCTTGTGCAAGTGAAGGTAGTTCATCCCGCCAGCAACGCCCATGGCCCAGTCCATGAGGAGTGACGGCGTGATCTTCCTGCCTGCTCTCAGCACCTCGTAGAGCTGGCCCTGGGCACAGTACTCCATGAGGATGCAATAGCATGGAGCCTGGGTGCAAATCCCTCTGTTGGAGAAATACATACTTTTCATTGGACAGCAACAACATGGGGACACAACCATTTTTCCAAAGAGAATACTAAGTTCAGTGGTGTCTTCTCTTACAAGTTTTAATTTATTCCGTGAACACGTTCATATGTCAAAACACTTAAAGCGCATTTCCACAATGAAATGAATGAAAATGCCGTTAATCCGTTCCAGCACCCCATAAAACACCCCCAAAAATAATGTAGAATGTTTTTCAATTACAAAGATCGCATTGTACTTTACTTAAAAAAAATACCATCATTAAAAAAAAAAAAAAATAGAATGTCAAGAATTAAACAGCGCATCATAATTTCATACTTAAAGCAGCTGTGTGGCTCCTTAGCCACCAGGGGGGAATATGACCTATACATACTGTAGGACATACCATATATACCAGGGATTACCAACGTGGTGCCCACGGGCAACAGCTCGCCATCGAGGCCCACATAAGTCACCCGCGGGCTTGTTCTCGTTCACCAGTGATGGGACAGTGCGATTTTCTCGTAATGTTGTAAAAGTAAGAATTTGAAAATGTAAACACTGGCAGAGATTTCTAGAAATAAAGTGTCTCATATTGATATTAATGTTTCCTAATTATGAGATGCGAGATGAACATTTATAACGGCAACATTATCCATCCATCCGTCTGTCTATTTTCAATATTGCTTATCCTGTATGAATTTTTTCACATTATGAAAAGTAATTTTAGAAAATGTCTCATTTCTGAAGGGTGTATTAAGCTGGTAGTCCTACGCATCGATCAGTACCCAAAAAGTCCTGCTTTCATGCAGGACGACGGAAATCAGAGGATATTTACTGTGTGAGAGCCTGAAATCTCCAAACCATAAACTGATTCTCAAAATTACTGATGAATCGACTGAATGTTACACCTTTTCAAATGTACAGTAAACACCAAACGGACTGACCAAAACTTTGCTTATTTGCATGTTTTTTTGCACTAAGATGTTCCTGCTCCTCGTAAGGCACCACATTAGTGGAGGAGTTGCTAGTGTTGACAGCGAACAGCAGCGTGATGACATATCGCAGTAGAAGTCATACAATCGGGTGAGACTCCTTGTGGGGTTGATGCCATAGAAAGCAGGGTGGTAACACCAGCTGCGACGGGGAAAGATCGGGATTACTATTGGCAGTGGTGGAAGTTACAGTAAATATTTGGCAAAATTAACAAATTAATTCCCTTTGTTTGTTTGTTTGTTTGTTTTTTTTTTGTGAAACTTATCCCTGGCTGTCTCCTGAAAAAAAAAAAACCCTGTTCTCCTTCCGAAAGTTTGCACAAGAGCCCACCTTATACAGGCATGTCCGATGCTGTATTTTAAAATCAAATAATCCCTTATTTTGAAGGGTAATGTTGTAAAATGATTTTAAAAGGCTATGGAACTGTTTGGGAATCAGAGTTTGTGGCTAACTGTTTGAATCATTAATATAGGCAACATATATAGGGGGGCGGGGTTGGTAGAGCGTCAATTGCTGTTCCTGACAGCGCGAGATTCACCGTACCAAAACGTGATGTCCCAAATTATCAGCAAATGGGGGACTTACTTGAAAGTAATGATGTTTGGATGTTTGAGCTTGCGGAGGTGCTTGATATCCGTCTCCTTGATGTTCCGCACTTTCTTCACCGCCACTTCCTGTCCGTGCAGCTTGCCCAAGAAAACGGCACCCTGGGCGCCACTGCCCACCCACTGTAGATCTGATATCTCCTCGAAGGGGACTTCCCACGCTTCTGAAAACAGGATGTACCTGTGAGCTTCACTGGAATAAATTGTTCTACATTTCATTCTAATTGAGTAATTTTACCGATTTAATTTGGATGAAAAGAAAGTCAAGTGATACTCCTTGAGGTCTGAGTTATTGGACTCTTCCCACTGCACTACACATGTAGTAACTAAACTCACGTTTTTAAATACATTTAAAATACAAGTGTGACAAACAATAAGCTTAGAACTGATGCTGATGACGCTAACAAAGCAGGAGAGATGTGCTAGCTGGGTCATCACTATTATTCAGCCGTTCGTTTTCGATTTCGCTTTTCCTCATTGTGGTCGTCGGTGAACTGGAGCCCATCCCAGCTGACTTTTGGCGAGAGAAGTAGGTTACACCCTTGAATGGTCACCAGTTGATTACAGAAGAGCATTTATAATCACATTCACACCAATTTCCAATGAACCAAACATGTTTGTGGAATGGGAGAGGAAGCGGGAGTACAGAAGACATGAGCTGGGATTCGAAGAAGAGGTGGACAAGATAGTGGATTTCCTGTCCCATCCCACTGCCACAGACAAAAATCCTGTCCTGTCCAGTACCGGACCATAAGAGAAAAATAAATAAAAAATAATAATCCTACCCCATTCCGTCCTGCTCCTGTTCAGCACGACACCCACTACCGTACCACTCCCACAAAAATAATGTTGCATTTGACTAATTTAATTGAACAGTCTGGCACTCCCTGTCCTGTCCCAATCCCGTGACTAAAGGTAAATTTGACTCCCATCCTGTCGGAATCCCGTGGATTCGACCCCTGAACCTCACAAGTGTAAAACAGTAAAACAGACCATGACGCTATGCTTCTTTTCGCAGGCTGTTGTGCTATCAGTGAATCTTTTATCCCTGACTGATGCTTTTATTGTTATAGAAACGTTTTAGATATTGTTGCATGAACCCAAAGACACCATCATGCTGGTACTGACTCATGTTTTTGTCATACTTGTTTGCTAGAATTTTGTGAGGCTGTCGCAAAGAACCCTTAAAAGACTGCAAGTCAAAGTGTCATGTAAGTTAACGCCTCTAACTGAAGCAGATAACTAAACTGTCTCTGTTCTTCATTCATAGTTCATTTGGCTTCGTTTTAGCATGAGCCTAATTTATAAGACCAATTAATTTACATATGTAGAAAAATTCCGATATTGTTGATTGTAATAAAGAGGACAAACGCATATTAAATCACGAATGCACTTTTAAGGGGGAAAACAATGCAATTAGATTGCTTTTCAAAATGTTTCAGGCCTACTCTGAATTGTGTCTCAGAATATGTATATGACTGGTTTGTTGAGACTGTATGCGCTTTGCGATTGGTGGGCGACCTGTACTGGGTGAACCCTAATCTCTTCCTGAAAGTCAGCTGCCATTGAAGATTCTCAACCAGTTATTCTCAGTTGGTGGCGCAGGACCCAAAAGTGGGTCGTTAAGGCATTATGGAAGGGTCACGGGCAGCATGACAGGGGGTTGATGCAGACACAGGACAGTTTGAGCAAAAATACGTCACGTGGTGTAAGAAGTCAAGCTCAGTTAGCATTTACTGGACTGTAGATTCCCACCAAAAAGTCATTTTGTCGGCCATATTACTACTTTCCAGTTAGCATGCAAAACATTTAAGGTGCTATCGTGTTCTTTTGCAGTTCTAACGAAACGTAATGAGTGTGTAGTCAGTGCGGGAGCTCTTAATCTCCTGCGTGTAATTCTGACTCAGCCTCCCAAATCCTCCTTGAGTACCTTTTGTGGGGCTGACGCGAAACAAGGGTGCAGCACTCGGTAAGGGGGAGGGAGAGGATTTGAGAGCTCTCATGTTGGCTGTACAGACGGGGAATAGATGGGTTAAAAAGAAGTGAGGGGGTGCCCCATAAGGGTCGACCAATGGCAGGCTGTTAATGCGGAGGAGATATACAACAATATTCAGATACATTTGTCATACTAATAAGCACGGTATTAATGAATAACGCCATCCAGGGCAAATAAGACGTTTAATAATGTCTTAACGTTGAAGTCGTGCGATAGAGCTCCACTGGTCTGCTTTGTGTGTTAAATGGAAGAAATCCAGGCCGGTGGTTAAAATCAATAAAGGGCAATTTTCTTGCTTTTTTTTTTTTTTTTTTTTTTTTTGCTATGCTCCAGAGGAGCGCTTTGTCACCATGGAGCCACTCTTCCATTTCTTCCTGTTTGTTCCACCTCTGCCAAGCTATTGCTTAAAATCACTTCACTGATTTCCATAGATATGCAGACCGTGCCACGGTTATTAACCCGCCTGTCATAAAAGGGAGCATGCAGCATCATGGAGTGCTTTTAATGTTGAGTGAATCCTTTTCACCTACTGAAATACTTTCCCACACTATTTTAATTAAGATGCGGCTAAATTGACTCCACAGAGTGAAATATTTCATGAGATTTAAAAAAATATAATTTTGATGATCGTAGTTAACAGCTGGTGAAAACCCCTACCTCACCATCGCAGAAAATTTGAATATTACACAGCAGACAAAACTATTTAATGCATCCGTATATAATTGTACGACTGAAATACACGAACCTTCTTTACAATATTCTAATTTATTAAGATGCACCTGTACTTCATACTTCATTTCTTAAATGATTCCCTGAGAATCTCGTCTGTGTCCTGAAAGCAAAATTCATTATAAAAGTGAATGCTGATCCAAATTTGGTACGTTTGACCTTGGATGAGTGTCACGCTGCTTTTATATATATATATTTTTTTTTTGCGGATGAGGGCCATGAGGTGCAGATGGATTGAGAGTGATGACCGCTCAGAATAAAGAGAAGCAAAAAGGAGACAATGGAGGAAGTGGAGGAGGAGGCGGAAGGGATGGCGGTGGGAATCAAATAGAAAAGTGGGTGGGGGGGGGTATTGGAGGGGGGTAATAAAATATCAGCGAGCCATAAAGACAAGGTTAGATGTAAATCTGCCACCCATGTGAGCGATGTGCAAGGTGTTTATAAGTTTGGCTTCCTCTTCTGCCAGTTTATTGGCTTGTGCCAGGCGCTGCATATTAAACTGTTTCTATTTGCAGCGGTACGTGTGTGTGCGTGCGCGGGCGCGTGGATGAGCGCATGCGTGCGTGCGCGCGTGTGTCAGGTTAATAGAGATGAGAGGCAGAGGGATCAGAGCGTGGCCATGCATAATACATGAGGCAGATTTGGAAGAGGAGTCCCGCGGGAGCGCTGTGCTATTGTAGTGGCTGCAGACATAAACAACAGTGCGTCAGAGGGGGCCGGCTTCATTAGAGGGCTGTAGTGGGATGGAAGGATGGATGGATGGAGGTTGGGGGTGGGCACGAGCAGGCCGACGTGGGTTCTGG